GACTTCGTAGATTTCCCTTTCGACGTAGATGTAGCCCTGGGGGTGCGGAGTCTACGTTGTGACGACGTGGAGGCCCTCCTAGTCTTAGGCTGGGACGACCGGATGTCCGGGGATGCAGGTCGCTTCTTGGAGATAGCTGACTGCGTCCCACGCCTCTCCTCCGAGGGTAACTCAAGCGGAACACCAGACGGCAGGGGGTCGTCCGCCAGCAGTTGACAGGGTATATCAGGCTCTGGTGTATTAGCCATGGCTGAGGTCTGTTTACGTGACCTATCTGCTGCGCGTCTCAAGACGCAAAATAAATATTTATCAAAGGCAGAATTGGATAAATTAATACAATAATTGCAACGTGAAACAGTAGAGCATGGTGTAGTACAACTAGGGCATATTAAATGTGGATCAGCAGCAGAGAAACGTAATTTACAAATAGTGCAGATTTTCATCAACGCAATCTACTGAACAAACACGGCGAACCGTGAATAAAACAGTAGAAACACGAATAAATATCAATGCATTATGTTGAAGGATACTAGCTACACCTCTATAGAAGCCTATAAGAGGTAAATAACTAAGAATAAACAAAGGATATAATGTGTAGGGAGACACAGGCGCTCTCACATCCTGCTCACTGGACGAAGAAGGAGAGAGTGAGGCACATGGCGGGAGGTGGCGCCCTTGTTCCCGCGCATTTGAGGGGACAGATAACTCTTGGTGAGTACTAATTAGTGATTTTACATTGAAGGGAACTTCAATTGGGAGATACAAGTGTTCCACTGTGTTCGCAAGAAGAAGAAGACAAGCAAAATAGCATGAGTCAGGATAAGGAAAAATAAATAATAACAGTCCGTAAGTAATTACTTTGAGGTTACCCGAAATGCTGCTCTTATCACTTTATCTCGCGCCCATGGCAGGCCCTTTGTTTTAGCCAGCCAACCGAGCAGCACATTGTTTGACCACAGAGCGCATTGTTTTTGTCCAGCTCTAATGAGCCAACTTATGTACGAGTAAGTACACTCCCTTCGCTTATCAATTGTGTTGTTATGCTATAACAGTGTATTTGTCTGTGATAACCCCACTGGCAAAGTTGAATTGATCAGAAAGTTGATTGTTTGAGTAATTGTGATTATCTCGTAGCCATCCATGTATAACTTGTTATGGGGAAAATGTTTCATTTTTTAAATGTACTGTCATCAGTGTTTATAGAGTAGAATTGTAACTTGAAAGCATGTTTTTTGCTCAATGGTTGTGTGAGAACGAATAGTGTATAAAATGTTGTGATCCACTAATTAATGACAATTTTAGGTTGTACTGTTATTTTATTTGTCACTCCCCGTAAGCAGTTATCTCCCTTGCTCACTGCCATTCTACAGTTTCTGTGAACCGTAATTATTCACTCCAACTCTATGCAAGTGCTATTGGTACAGCTGACTTTGTGTGTAAAAGATGCTTTCTTCCATGTGAATGTTTATATTGTACTTTTATGCACTGTGCTAATCTAAAATTCTATGGGATTACGATGTACAAGTTTCATCTATGACAGGCCATCCATGATGTTACCATGTATATTGAATGTTTTTGTTTTATTGTTTAGGTCTACCGTCTTCAGTATAAATAAAATACATGGACCCAGAGAACGGCTCTGTTCTGCTTTTTACATGGTGTCAGAAGTTGGATACTGACTCGACGGATTGACCCTCAACTGCTGGCCTGACAGGACACAGGACTGCAGGATATCGCTGCTGCCAGAAGCAGAAAGATGAAGACCAACGGGCATCAGCAGTAGAAGATTAAGCTTAAAATTTAGATAATACTTTAATTTTGTTAAATGTTGTTTGGGTATTTTCCTGTTTCTTTCCCTTAAAGATACCTTCAGGTTAAATCTTAGGGTCTTGAGTTAAGGATGCCCGGAGATAGACCACAGGGTGAAGGGGAGGGGGGAGGAACAGGAGAACAGGAAGTTAATGAAGGAGTTGACAAGGTGGAGGAACTCTCTTCGGAGTTGGAAAGGCTCCGAATGAGAATTAAGGAGCAGGAGGTCTGGATTAGGAACCAGCAAGAGGAGTCAAAAAAGCCAGTCATGATGGTCACAGGGAGGAAGCTGGACCGCTTCAGGGGAAGGCCAGAGAGGGCGGGTGACCCCACCCTGGCTGAGTGGATTTCAGACATCAGGAGCCACGCTGAATCTAGGCGACTGAATCCTTCAGACACCGCTGCTGTGATCATAGACAACCTGGCAGGAAGGGCCCGACAAGAAATCCAAGGGCGTGGAGACCTTCTGAAAGGCTAGCCGGAAGAGATCTTTAAGGTCCTGACAAGAGTCTTTGGGGATGGAGACCAGCTACCCCTCCTCCAGGAAAGATTTTACTCCCTGAGACAAGGACGAGAGGATCTTGTCACCTGCTCCCTCAACATGGTGGAACTTTTTGACCGAATTGCTGAACTGGATCCCTCCAAGAGAAAGAACAGGGATCAAACACTCAAGGGGAGGCTCGCCGAGGTCGTAACGGATGAAGGGTTGAAGAGAGAGCTGAGGAGGCTCAACATCGAACAACAAACATTATCCTTCTTTGACCTTAGGGACAGAGCTGTGGCCTGGCTTGGGGACTACCAGAAGCCCAAACCAGTTCAAGCCCAGGAAACCGCCGCCGTCAAGTCAGAGGAGTCCATCGTCAGGCAGCAACAGCCGCTCATCGACCAACAGCGTGAGCAGATCGACAGGCTGCTGAAAGCTCTTAGCCAGGGGAATGCCATCAGAACCAGTGGCGGCAGCAAGGAAGACAAGAAACCGTTTAAATTTTGAATCTGCAGCTCTCCAGATCACCTGAAGAGGGACTGTCCCCAGAGAATGTACAACAGGGAAAAGGGAAACGGTTCGAACCTGTAGTGGACAGCCACACTACAGGAGAGCTGGATATAGGCTCAGTCTTACATAGGGCGGTGGGAACCTGCCCGGAGACGGTTGTTGAGACTGGTTGGATGTATCTAACTTCATCAAGGTCAAGGCGGCAAATGGAGAGGAGATTCCCATCCTGGGCTATATCGAGCTCTCAGTAAATATTTTCGGCCAGGAATTAAAAAATTTAGGATTTTTAATTGCGAAGGAATCACAAGATGAGACTACTAGAGAAAGGAAGGAAAGAGTACCCGGAGTGTTAGGCTCGAACATCTTTAGGGACATACAAGAGCATGCTAAGACAAGACCTATCCCTGAAGATTGGAGACAGATCCTAGCCCTGTACGAGCAAGTTTGCGCTGACCGTCAGAGAGAAGATATGGGACGAGTCAGAGTTGCAGGACCTGCTCCAGTACTGATACCAGCAAGGACCATCAGAGTCATCGAAGGAAGTGTACGCAAGGCTACGAAGTCCTACCAAGCTCTCATAGAGAAACTAGATGGAGACACTGAACACCTTCCTAACGGATTGACTCTTGGACCCTCGCATGTCAAGGTAACTCAGACAGGAACAGTCCCCGTACAAGTTGCAAATTTCAGCGACAGTGATGTATATCTCAAGCCACGGACTCCTATTGCCCAGCTCAAGAAAGCTCTCCTTGAACCAAGATACCAGATTGTGGAATTAAATTCGCAAGAAGTTGAAATCCAGGACATATCGCAAGACTCAGTGAAGAGGCAGCTTGGAGAGGATCTAATGGGGAAGATGGATTTTGGGACCAACATCAGTCAAGAGGCTAAAAGGAATCTGACCGACATGATCATAAAGCACCAATCTGTCTTCAGCACATCTGACGAGGATATAGGATTTTGTGATGCAGTTGAACACAGGATTGTAACAACTGATGAGATTCCAGTTAGAGACCCTCACAGAAGAATTCCACCACAACTATGGGAGGAAGTTAGACAATACATTGCCAAAAGTTTGGATTCGGGGATTATTTGTGAGTCATCAAGTCCCTACGCATCACCGGTTGTCTTGGTAAGGAAGAGCAATGGAAAGTTAAGGACATGCTGTGATTACCGAGCCATTAATGCCAAGACTCGGAAAGATGCATATCCATTACCTCGGATAGAGGAAGCTCTCGACGTTCTCAAGGGAGCAAGGTTCTTCTGCAGTCTGGACTTGGCACATGGATTTCATCAGATCCCCTTGGCAGAGAAGGACATTGAGAAGACGGCATTCCGGGTAGGCACGGGAGGACTGTATGAATATACAAGGATGCCTTTTGGACTGACTGGAGCACCTGCAACGTTCATGAGATTGATGGACAAAATCTTCGGTGACCAGAACTTCCAAACCCTGATAGTTTTCATGGAAGACATCTTAGTTTTTGGATCCACCGACTGGACATGGTTCTCACAAGGTTAGCATCATACAACCTGAAAGTTCGACCTGAGAAGTGTCAACTTTTCAAGCAGAAGTTGCGGTACCTTGGTCACCAGATTTCTCAGGAGGGTGTACTACCAGATACAGACAAGGTGAAAGCAGTACTGGACAGAAACACAGTTAAGAGGATTTCTTGGACTAGCTGGGTACTACAGGCGGTTTGTTCAAGACTTCGCCAAGATTGCTGCTCCTTTACACGCTCTGCTTCAAGGCAGGAACACCAGCAAGAAGGGAAAGAGGAAGGTTAGGCCTCAAGGACTTGGGATGTCTTCATGGGACGAGTCATGTGACAAAGCCTTTGGGGAGTTGAAGACAAAGCTAACCTCTGCGCCGATTCTAGGTTTTCCAGACTTCACCAAACCGTACATTCTGGAGGTAGATGCCAGCAATGCAGGACTCGGAGTTGTACTGTCACAAGAGCAAGAACAGGGTAAAGTAGTCCTGAGCTATGCTAGCCGTTCCCTTCGTCCGAATGAGAGGAACATGGAGAACTAAAGCAGCATGAAGTTGGAACTGCTTGCACTCAAATGGGCTGTGACAGAGAAGTACAGAGATCTATTGCTTGGAACAGAGTGCTTCGTGTTCACAGACAATGACCCACTCCGCTACATCCAGACAACAGCAAAACTTGGAGCCACTGAGATGAGATGGGTAGGCGAACTGGCTCAATTCAACCTTACGATCAGGCATAGGTCGGGCAAACAAAACAAGAATGCAGATTCTCTCAGCCGCAAGTCAAAGCATTCTCCAGAGACAGACAGACTAGAGTCATTAGAAGTAGAAGCCTCAACAGCATCACTGAGTGACTCTACACAACTTCCAGGAGTCCTTAGATCAACCATCCATGAGATAACGGAGGAAGAAATGAACACAACTGTTCAAAGGCAAGTTCCCATCATATCTACCCACATGCCCGCACTTTCAACAGAAGATATAGCCAAACTTCAGATGGAAGATGAATACATTGGGAGATTCAAGCACTATTGGGATCAAGGTAAAAAGCCATCGAAGCGACAACTTCTCAGAGAACACCCCTGGTCCAGTGTAACACTATGGTTGGAGGCTGTGTAGACGGGCAGGCTTGTTTTCCATGGAATATAAAAGTCGGTCAGTGCTGGTCAACAGTGGGTGATGATAAGGTCAAATTGACCAGATAAAGATATGATTGTACTGACCACCACTAATGACTGACTAATTGGACAGATAACGATTTAACTGTGTTGTGATGATTTGGCAAACTGTCCAGCGAAATGCTGACTGGTCACTACATGTACCTGAACGGTCAAGAGAAATGCTGACTAATCGCCACGTGATCCTGTGACGAAGTTGCTATATAAGCAGCACCGTCAAGGTAGTCTACAGAGAGGAAGGCAACTTGAGGCACAGAAGGGCGCTGAACACAGACCAACGGACAGCACCAACAGCCAAGGCTAGCAGATCAGCTGAGCAGAGAAGTCCGAAGAACAACCCTGGTCTCACCTGGTCAGCGCCTGGGAAGTGCCTAGCTTCTCTCACGGTCTCCACCATATTCCGATTGTTGCATTACTGACTGTTAACGTTATATGCTGTGGTAATTAAAGAACAGTGTTGAAACTTTTCATCCTTCGTCGTGTTATCGTGCTACATAGAGCACGTGTGGGTTCTTCTTTGGTGCCGTGACCCGGATTCCCCCTCAAACAAGGACAAGCCGCAAACAACGTGGACTGGATCCTGATCAGCTTGGTAAGTGGCTTTGACTTCTTCCTTATTCCGACTTCGTTATGGTAAGCCAGGATATAGGTGACTTTTTGACCGGAATTGCAGGGCAAATAACAGGGCAATTAGCCAGTCTGTCCACGACGTTAGGCGCACAGGTTATAGCCCAAATTATAAAACCATTTGAGGGGGAGCCTACGAAGTTTAAAGAATGGATGAAAAGTATTGAAAACTACGCCGTGTTGACTAACTCAGGTCAAGATAGAATCAAATTAGTGACGTACCAGTCAAGTTCAGGGGCAGTTAGCGATTTTATTCATCGCTATTTACAAGACCATGATCAGGCAACATGGCCGGAGCTAAAGCATGAATTGACTCGTCGATTTGCCGAAATAACTGACGCTCAACATGCCTTTATGCTGTTGAGAACCGTGAGACAGAAACACGGTGAAAGTGTACAGTTGTTTGCCGAACGACTGCTAAACTTAGCCGAGGAGGCTTACACAGGACTAGGTAGGGATGGAGATGGTGTTGCCATAGAACACCAATTAGTAGGTTTTTTCACAGATGGGTTAGCCTATGACTATCTTAAAATGAAAGTAATGAGAGAAAACCCTCCAAACATGGCTGCAGCTGTTGCATGTGCAACGCATGAACAGAATTTACGCACCCGATTTAACCTGAGACTAGGAAGGGGCAATAGAGGACTTGAAGATCAACGTAGGGAAGAGCCCATGGAGGTAGACCATTACCGCCCAAGACCGAAATGCTATAAATGTCAGCAATCAGGCCACAAGGCGAGGGACTGTAGGTCAGGCAATAGGAATAGTGTCAATGCAGTGACAAATAAAGAGGCGGAACCCATTGGTAGACCATGAGCAATGTTGTGTTAGTGCAACCAACCGGGGCATTTTAAAAGGGATTGCCCAAACAGAGAGAAAAATTATGGGATGAATTATGGAACATATAGGAGAACACCAAATGGAACACCTTTAAACTAAAAACTCCTTCTCATGATGAAACCGATCAGAAGGAGAAGGAGAGAACAGTATATACTATAAATTTAGCAGGAAATCCAAGTTCGTGTACTGTTAGGATAGGGAAACAACATTATAGATGTTTGATTGATTCTGGAGCTGAAGTATCTATTATTCACAGAAGGGTTTTTCACAAACTTCAAGGACTCTATAAGTTAAGTAAAAAGAAGGTTTCACTACAATCTGTCAATGGGAATGGTTTAGAAGTAGATGGTTGTGTAGACATCACTTTTAAAATGAGAGGAGTGACATTAACGCACCAATTTTATGTGGTAGGCAACATGAATAGGAATATGATTTTGGGAAGAGATTGGCTAAAACAACATGGCGTCCGACTTTACTACGACCTTGGAAGTTTAAGGATAGGAAAAACCTATGTACCATTGGAAGATGATCTGCACATTGCCTCCATTGTGCGTCTGGCTGGGGACACTATTTTAAAACCACAAAGTAGAAGTCTGTGCAGAGCAAAAGTAAAACAAGGGCCATATTTCCCCGATGACACACTTTACCAAGTGTCAGAAATAGATACCGGATATTTATCTTGTGAACCAGGACTCATAGTAATTAACTCATTAGCGTGCATGAACAAAGATAGGAATGTCCCAATTATGATAGTGAACACCACAAACAAAACATTCAGGTTAAGAAGGGGGTGTGTGTTAGGAAGATTAGATAAGGTACCGGAGGAAAACTTAGTAACACTTGCAGAGAAATTAGGACACTCAACAAACCAACCTGTGGACGATGCATTGTTAGACGTTAAGGCTCCACAAGAGCATAAAGAGAAGATACAGAATTTAGGAGCTGGGTACAAGGACCTCTTTGCCGCAAGTGACTTGGACTTAGGACATACAAGTACAGTACAGATGAAGATTGACACTGGTGACCATGCACCTATCAAGTTGAGGCCATACCGGACACCACTTAATAAAAGAAAAGTGGTTGACAAAGCCATCAATGACATGCTAGAGGCCAAGATTATTAAACGGTCTAGATCACCGTGGAGCTTTCCCATTGTAGTGGTGGACAAGAAGGACGGAAGTAAACGATTTTGTGTGGACTTCCAGTCCTTAAACAAGATTGCCCGACCCATCTCCACACCTCTCCCACTCATTGATGATATCTTCACACAACTGGGGAATTCAAAATACTTCTCCACTCTTGATTTAAAGTCGGGGTACCGGCAAATCTTGATGGATGAACAAGACAAGGAAAAGACAGCTTTTGCATGTCACCGTGGACTGTTTGAATTCTCTGTTATGCCTTTCGGCCTCTGTAACGCTCCCTCAATATTCATGGAACTCATGAATATAGTACTACAGGATCTAGAAGCATTTGCAATAGCATATCTAGATGATATCTTGATCTTCTCAAAAACCTTACAGGATCATATGTTTCACATACAAACTGTTTTTGATCGCCTGAGACAGCATTCGCTGAAGCTTAAACTTTCTAAGTGTAGTTTTGTCCAATCTGAAACGAACTATCTAGGATTCGCGTGATCAACCAGAGTGGGATCAAGCCAGAGGAACAGAAAGTTGAAGCCATACGGTCTATGGGAGCTCCAACATCTGTCAAAGAGGTCAGAAGTTTCATCGGGATGTGTAACTACTATCGGCGCTTCATTCCAAATTTTTCTAAAATTGCTGAACCAATTGTTCGGTTAACGAAGAAATATGCCAGGTTTTCCTGGACAGATGAATGTCTGCGAGCTTTCCAGTTCCTAAAACAAAGACTGACAGTAATTCCTTTACTGACATATCCAGACCCCAATAAACCATACATCCTGTATACAGATGCCAGTGACAGCTGCATTGGTGCTTGTCTAGCCCAATTAAGCGATGATGGGACGGAAAAACCCATTCATTTCTTGTCACACAAACTGAGTGACACACAGACACGCTGGGCGACCATAGAGAAAGAGGCTTACGCAATACACTTCAGCTTACAGAAACTTGACCATTACTTGCATAATGCAGATTTTGTGATCAAAACTGATCATAAACCGTTGAAGTATCTGTTGGAGTCACCCATATAATTGTCAGGTTCAGTATATTGCAGGCACAGAAAATACCTGTGCAGATCTTCTCTCCAGGGTTCCGCCCGATGGTAATAATTTACGGTCGGATGAGATGGTTGAATCTGTAGAGAATGATAACAGTTTAGAAATCAATGTGCTTGACATGACCAATTTTGAGCCCAAGGCATATGCTCGCTGTCAAGGTCCAGGATTAGATGTTCTGGAAAAGGCAATACCCTTGGACTTTAACCTTGATATGACAACAGAACAGTCAAAAGATGAAGAGATACAAAGAACGAAAACCTTGCTAGAAAAAGGTCAGGATGGTCGCCATTCCCTCAAGAAGTTCTTATTGATGGATGGTTTGCTATACTACATCACTGATGTGGATGATGAACCCGTCCCAAGATTGTATGTACCCACACATTTAAAAGGGCAACTAATCCATCAGTACCATGATGAGAATGGGCATATGGGAATCGATAAAACGTTTGATGCATTGAAAACAAAATATTACTGGCCGAACATGTACAAGGATTTGTATGAGTATGTTTCCCGCTGCATCACTTGCCAGGCCCGATCTCTCACGAAAACAGAAGCCACCCTCCAAGAAACTGATGTACCTCCCTATCCATTTGCGAAAATAAGCATGGATCTATCAGGCCCTTACCCAACCACTCTGTCACGAAACAAGTACATTGTGGGATTTGTAGATCATTATAGTGGTTGGCCGGAGGCTTTTGCAGTACCAGACAAGACTGCTGAAACCATTGCACACCTGCTAATTGAAGAAATATTTCCTCAATATGGTTCTCCACTAGAGATTGTCACCGACAATGGTACGGAAAATGTAAACCATGTCGTGAAGAAAATTCTTGCCACATTGGGAATTCACCATGTGACGACTTCTTTCTACCACCCACAAGCCAATGGGAGAGTAGAACGTTTTCATAGGACACTGCATGATGTCCTGGCGAAGAAATTGGATGATGATCTAACTACTTGGGATTTGTACTTGAACCAGACCTTAGCAGCAATCCGGTTCAACATATATGAGTCATCCAAGTTCTCACCCTTTTTCCTCTTATACAACCGGGATGTTGTCCTACCATTGGACAACCTTCTAAAACCCAGGAAGAAATACCATGGGGAGGAGGAACATAAAATTGCCCTGCAACAGCAACACAAATCTTTTCTGTTGGTACACAGACATATGAAAAAGGCAAAGAAAAGACAAGCAAAATATGCTGACAGATGCAGCAAGCCAATTGAGATAAACGTTGGTGATCCTGTGTATTACAGACATCACCAACGAAAAAGCAAATTACAATCCAAATGGAAGCCATACTACCGAGTAATTGAGCCGGACATCACCTGTTACATTCATCATTCGGAATCAACTTGATGGGACAGTAACAAAAGCACATGCAGAACATTTGCGGATAGCAAAATAGATGATTGGGAAATTCCCAAGGATACAACAGGTAGGCCCAGAAGGAAGGCCCAATATGTTGTTCCTCCAGAAGAGTCCAGTAGTGAAGAGTCAGATCCAGTCATTATCACTGATTCCAAAGCGGATCGCGAGACGATATCGTCAAGAGCGATCAGATTCAGAAGAAGAGGACTACATACCATTGGCAGAATTACAGAAACGATTAAGAGCCAGGAATCAACCACTTGAAACTGATTATGAAAATGAGGAGCATGACGAACGGGTAGAGCCCATGATTCTGCAGCTAATAACGACGAAGAAGACATGTTAATAGAATCTATTGAACGAAAATCATCTAGAATCTCTACTAGAAACACACATACAAACAAAGGAGAACAAGTTAAACAGCTGCTTCAAGCAATGGTTGGGTTATTATAGGGTTATCCAGATTAATGGTTATCAGTTCATCGTCTATTATTCGATATCCTTATGTTTCAGGGAGAACATGTTTCCGCCGGTTCTCCTCTTCCTGTTTGGTTTTGCCCAGGGTAATGTAATGTATGAAAATGTTATCTTCCAAAAGATAAATGATATCACTACCACTAGGTCAAAATGGTTGGTAACTTTTGTTATTGATCTAAAACCATATAATCAGTTTATTGAGCAATGCAGGTATGACATTGATCAAGTTGCACTGATGGTTAGGCAATTTATGAACCGTTTCTACTCAGATAAATCAGAGGGAATTTTAAGTATGTATATAAAGTTAGACGAAGAAATAATACGTTTGAGTACCACCTTAAATAATCTAGCAGAAAACTTTGCTGAATATAGCAGGTTGCATGCCCGACCTAAGCGCTCACTATTACCATTTGTTGGTAAAGCTTTAAGTTTCTTGTTTGGCACTGTGTCTGATGCTGACCTAAACACTATAAAGCAAAACGTGAAGAGGCTTGCAGAAAACCAAGTAGATATGACACACGTAATACAGGAGGGGCTCTCTATCCTCAATACAACTAGAATTCAAGTCTCGGAGAATAGACAGACCATTAATGAAGTTATTGATGATTTACATTTTGTAGAACGTGAAATTGCTAATGTATCAATGACATTAGGAAATCAGATAGCAAAATTAGAATGGGTCACAAAGACCTATTTACAGGCAGAACTTGTCATTGAGAATATTCGAGGCATGTTACAAACCTTTTTATCCTATCTAGAACACCTCCAACTTCAAGTTAATATGTTGGCCTTAGGACATCTTGCACCCAGTACAATAGCGTAAAACAGTTACTAAGTTTATTAAAGGACATACAAGTCCATCTTCCTAATAGGTTTCGATTAGCAAATGATCCCGAAGACAACTTATGGGGTTTCTATAAGTCCTTACTATGTACCACCGTGCTATTGAAAATAAGATCTTGGTAATTACGTCCATTCCGCTTCTAGATGCTAATGGACAATTTGGGATATACCAGGCACATAACTTACCTATACCACTGATCGGGAACGGCAGAGACACGAAAACAGATGGTATCGGTCATATGGTAGCAGAATATCGTTTAGAAACTGATGTAGTTGCAGTCAATGCACAGCGTACGAAATATGCATTATTGAAACCCTCCGAGGTACAGGCATGCACAAAACCCCTTACGGGTTATTGCCATATCCAGAGTCCCATCTACCCAATCAATCTAAGCCATCTATGTGTAGTTGCTCTATTTATGAAAGATGAAACGAAAGTCCAAAAGACCTGTAGAGAGAAATCAGACCAAACGCAATTCTACCTATGGCAGAATACCTCGCTGCAGGGCGTTGGATAGTGACGACTCATAAGAAATTAGATTTTGTAGTGGTATGTGATAGTAATAACCGGTTTTCCTATACTATCATGGTCTCTCCACCATTAGAGATAATTAAACTGAACGCCTCGTGTTCAGCATCTAATGATCATTTGACTTTACTCCCTTATTATCATAATGAAAGTCAATATCAATCAAGAGATAATTTTCTAGTTTTAGTGATGACCGTGAATGTTTCGAACATGCTGCTCTGGAAACCTTTTATGAAAACTGCCAAAAGACTGAACTTGACTAGGTTGCCTGAGAAACTCGGAGTTATTGAGAAAATTCTGATGGATCATCTTATTGATAAGCTTGATGAACTACATAACATGATACCAGACGATGAGACTTCTGACTGGAAATATTTTATAGGCATAATTCTACTTATAGGGGGAATATTGGTAGGGATATTTCTGTACATAAGAGTCATTAGACCCTGGCTTGCCAAACGAGGAAGGGGTGGGAGGAAAGTCTCGGCTACAACTGAGGTTGAGATGGTGCCAGTTAACGCTGGGGGTGCAGATCACACCTACAGAGGACCACTACCTTCTGCGCCACTCCTACAGGGCTCCGATCCAGCAAGCGAACTTCCACCAACAACCGCCATAAGGAGCATCTATCCGACGCTGGACACGGTCACCCGAAACACGCGTGAGACGAACTAATTCATGGAACTACTGACTTACAGATGTGATCGCTACACGCAGTTCAGTGAACACAAGGCAAAGTTCGAAGATAACGGACTATGGTGCACACACATTATAAACTTCATGTGGTCAATAGTTGTTTACATGTCTGTGACATATAGTATGTCGAACCACGTATATATGGAGCCGACCGAATGGTCGAGTGTTGCATTAACAGCACAATAGTGTCGAGAATTGTACATAACAATGTACACAGGTATCCATGTAATGATTGCTGGCATGAGCATAATGAATTGTAACTAACAATGGACTTCGGTACCCATATAATGATTGTTAACATGAATATAATGATTATAAATAACAATGTACACAGGTACCCTTGTAATGCTTGTTGGCATGGGTGTTTTAGTGTTAATTGCATTTAACGATTGCTAGAAATTTTTTACGTAAAAAAAATTAAAAAAATTCTAATGTATAATGGGGCGAATGTAACACTATGGTTGGAGGCTGTGTAGACGGGCAGGCTTGTTTTCCATGGAATATAAAAGTCGGTCAGTGCTGGTCAACAGTAGGTGAAGATAAGGTCAAATTGACCAGATAAAGATATGATTGTACTGACCACCACTAATGACTAACTAATTGGACAGATAACGATTTAACTGTGTTGTGATGATTTGGCAAACTGTCCAGCGAAATGCTGACTGGTCACTACGTGTACCTGAACGGTCAAGAGAAATGCTGACTAATCGCCACGTGATCCTGTGGCGAAGTTGCTATATAAGCAGCACCGTCAAGGTAGTCTACAGAGAGGAAGGCAACTTGAGGCACAGAAGGGAGCTGAACACAGACCAACGGACAGCACCAACAGCCAAGGCTAGCAGATCAGCTGAGCAGAGAAGTCCGAAGAACAACCCTGGTCTCACCTGGTCAGCGCCTGGGAAGTGCCTAGCCTCTCTCACGGTCTCCACCATATTCCGATTGTTGCATTACTGACTGTTAACGTTATATGCTGTGGTAATTAAAGAACAGTGATGAAACTTTTCATCCTTCGTCGTGTTATCGTGCTACACCAGGCGACTGTTCCAGTATTGGAAACAGATAGTGGAGGAAAAAGATGTGCTTTACCGACAGATACACGATCAAGCAACTCCTATTGCCAGATTGCTTGAGGACTAAAGTGTTGAAATCAGTGCATGACGACCATGGTCATCAGTGTTGTAAGAGGACACTTTCCTTGTTGCACAGTAGGTGTATCTGGCTTTACATGTCCAAAGACGTCAAAGACTACTGCACAAAGTGCTCCAGGTGTATGCTAGGAAAACATGGGGAGATCGTCAAGCCGACCATTGGATCCATCCTTGCTAAGAAACCAATGGAAATTCTGGCAGATTCCACAGTGCTGGAACCAGGAACCAACAAAATTGAAAATGTGCTGATTATGACAGATGTCTATACCAAGTTCACTCAAGCAATACCTCTGAGAGACCAGACAGCAAAGAGAGTAGCCCGTACCTTGGTCAAGGAGTGGTTTGTGCACTACGGAGTTCCGCTTAGTCTGCACAGTGACCAGGGTAGGAACTTTGAAAGTAGAATTATACACGAGTTGTGCAACATCTGTGGCATACTGAAAACCAAAACAACACCCTATCATCCTGAGGGAAATGCCACCTGTGAGCGATTTAACAGAACGCTGCACAACTTACTTAGAACCCTATCCTCAGAAAAGAAGAACCATTGGCCCGAACAACTGCCAGAACTCATTTATGCCTATGATTCAACTCCCCATGCTACTACTGGATATGCTCCCCACTACCTGTTCTTTGGGAGAGAACCTAGGGTTCCCATCGACATGTTAATTGGTGCAAGTGATGGAGTGCAAGAAGAGTGGACAGCAGAACATTATCAAAAACTACACGATGTTTATCGCCTGGTATCCGAGAGGACAGAATGTGAAGCTCTAAAGAGAAGAACCCGGATCAACAAAGACGCCAGAGACAGAGAACTCAGCATAGGTGCAAGATTCTTTCTCAGGAATCACCCCCCCAGGCCGAAATAAAATCCAAGATGTATGGCGCCCTACACCATACAGAGTAGTGGAAAAGAAACCATTTAACGAGTATGTCATTCAGCCACTACAGGGAGATGAACATACTAAAACAGTTCACAGGAAAGAGTTGCTTGATTCACGTACCCTAGTGGATGACATCCACAGTGAACCTGAACAGGAAGAAAGGTTGCCAAATAATCTACCTGAGGAGATGGAACTGATCTGTGATGACAATGACGATTTTGGAAATGACTATGATTTCTTTATCGTTAGTGAAATCCCTGGCGTGGAAACAGTAGAAGCTGGGACCAAGGGCAGGAACATGCCACAGGAGACAGATGCCTGCAGAGTCTGTCGGTCCGGATGAAGCTTCAGGAGCTGAAATTCTCAGGGAAGAAGACACACCAGTGGAACTACACAGATACGTCAGAGGGGACGGGTTCATGCGAAGCAGGGGAGGAAAGAGGTACTACTCCATGCGAAGTAGGGGAGCCAGAGGCTGTAACGCCACCACGGAGATCAACAAGGAGCACAGCTGGAAAACATCCTAACCCTCTCAATCTACCAAGATCAGCTCTCCACCAAGAAGCAACTAATGCCACAGTGATGCAGCTGGATCCATCTGTGATTGCTGACATGACTAAGACACAGTTACTACTGGTTCAACTGCTTTCAAAGTCCGTCCAGAAGTGATGAAAGGTACACTTTCATTCTTTGAACAGTATTTACCAAAACAGTATTTGATTTTTGGTGCTCATAATTTACATTTATGATCTGATTTTTCAATGTGTATGATATATAGGACTTTTTTATGGTTAGATTTATATCTACCACGTTTTTGTATTGCATTTGGTCCAGTTACCAAGGATAAGTACCGTGATGTCCTCAAGTAATATATTGTATGACATGATAGTTACATTGTGGTAATCAGTGTCTAGTTGCCAGGAGTCAACTAGGAAGCAGGGGAGTGTAAAGTGCCATCAGTCACACGTCTTTACTCACATTATCTTCGACACACTCCGTCAGGGCTCGGAAAACTTTGTAAACATTCCTGATTAAGAGGTCATTTCTTATGTCACCTTTCCAATATTTTCACATCTGTACTTGAGGTCTTTGCTTAAGATCCCTTTTAATTTCTACACATTCACAAAAGAATAATAACAGGCCGTAAGTAATTACTTTGAGGTTACCCGAAATGCTGCTCTTATCGCTTCATCTCGCGCCCAAGGCAGGCCCTTTGTTTTAGCCAGCCAGCCGAGCAGCACGTTGTTTGACCACAGAGGGCATTGTTTTTGTCCAGCTCTAATGAGCCAACTTATGTACTAGTAAGTACACTCCCTTCGCTTATCAATTGTGTTGTTATGCTATAACAGTGTATTTGTCTGTGATACCGCCACTGGCAAAGTTGAATTGATCAGAAAGTTGATTGTTTGAGTAATTGTGATTATCTCGTAGCCATCCATGTATAACTCGTTATGTGGAAAATGTTTCATTTTTTAAATGTACTGTCATCAATGTTTATAGAGTAGAATTGTAACTTGAAAGCATGTTTTTGCTCAATGGTTGTGTGAGAACGAATAGTGTATAAAATGTTGTTTGTATTAAGTGATCCACTAATTAATGACAATTTTAGGTTGTACTGTTATTTTATATGTCACTCCCCGTAAGCAGTTATCTACCTTGCTCACTGCCATTCTACAGTTTCCGTGAACCGTAATTATTCACTCCAACTCCATTGTTTTGATTTGTTCCAACTTGTTAGTTTCAAAACCGCGTGTTAGAGGGAGCACTTAGATTAGCCTCAAGTGTGATATTGTTTGTAGAAAAATATGCAATTTATCATTATAATCGCCACGATGTGTTTGCATGAAATTGTCAGTTTACTCATTGTATTGTAGTCGCATCCTACTAGGCAAGGAAGCCCCGTCCGGTTGTGGACAGATATCCAAGGTAGGTGGGGATGAGTTTACACACCTCAACTGGAAAACGGTGTAAAGTTTCATTTATTTTTCATGTTAGTTATTGTATGTTATTAGTTGTTAGTTAGATTAACTTGTGTAAAACTATTAAATAAGAGGTGACATACCCACTGGGTCTGGTATCTTTGCTGGAAGTTATGCAAGTGCTATTGGTACAGCTGACTTTGTGTGTAAAAGATGCTTTCTTCCATGTGAATGTTTATATTGTACTTTTATGCACTGTGCTAATCTAAAATTCTATGGGATTACGATGTACAAGTTTCATCTATGACAGGCCATCCATGATGTTACCATGTATATTGAATGTTTTTGTTTTATTGTTTAGGTCTACCGTCTTCAGTATAAATAAAATACACGGACCCAGAGTACGGCTCTGTTCTGCTTTTTACACATAACATACATCTAACATCATCTTGACAACACATAACATACATCTTGCATCACCTTGACAACACAGAACTATTACATCTAACATCACCTTGACAACACATAACATACATCTAACATCACATTGACAACACAAATCTTACATCTTGCGTTACCTTTGTCAACACAGAACAATATCTTCATACATGTTTTAAAGTTTAAATCATTATTATAAAGAGTATGAGTTTTATTTTACACCATTTTTAGGAATATATTTCAGCAACAGAATGGCAGGGGACACCAAAAATGGGCTTCACAGTTTGTATCCATGTAGGGTACTGAACCCGGGTCTTCAGCGTGACAAGCAAATGCTTTAACCACTAGGCTACCCCACCGCCCCATTATTATAAAGATTATACCAATAGTTACACATTGTACATATATAACACATGCTACTGATATACTGCAGCTGGTGGTTGAGACACCAAGCATCCCATCTCCCCCTTTACCGGTGCGTCCAAGGTCTGGCTTCCAGCAACAGCAGGAGATTACTCCAGTACCATCGTCAACTGAAACAAGGAGACCTCCCTTGTAAACATCATAGACTGAAACAAGGAGACCCCCCTGTAAACATCGTCAACTGAAACAAGGAGACCTCCCTTGTAAACATCATAGACTGAAACAAGGAGACCCCCCTGTAAACATCGTCAACTGAAACAAGGAGACCTCCCTGTAAACATCATAGACTGAAACAAGGAGACCTCCCTTGTAAACATCATAAACTGAAACAAGGAGACCTCCCTTGTAAACATCATAGACTGAAACAAGGAGACCTCCCTTGTAAACATCATAGACTGAAACAAGGAGACCTCCCTTATAAGCATCATCAACTGAAACAAGACCTCCCTTGTAAACAGACTGAAACAAGGAGACCTCCCTTGTAAACATCATAGACTGAAACAAGGAGACCTCCCTTGTAAACATCATTTACTAAAACAAGGAGACGTCCCTTGTAAACATCGTCAACTGAAACAAGGAGACCTCCCTTGTAAACATCGTCAACTGAAACAAGGAGACCCCCCTGTAAACATCGTCAACTGAAACAAGGAGACCTCCCTGTAAACATCGTCAACTGAAACAAGGAGACCTCCCTTATAAGCATCATCAACTGAAACAAGGAGACCTCCTTGTAAACATCATAGACTGAAACAAGGAGACCTCCCTTGTAAACATCACCTACTAAAACAAGGAGACGTCCCTTGTAAACATCGTCAACTGAAACAAGGAGACCTCCCTTGTAAACATCGTCAACTGAAACAAGGAGACCTCCCTTGTAAACATCGTCAACTGAAACAAGGAGACCTCCTTTGTAAACATCATCAACTGAAACAAGGAAACCTCCCTTTAACCATCATCAACTGAAGCACGGTGACCTCCCTGTGACATAAACTAAAACAAGGAGACCACCCTGTGACATCAACGAAAACAAGGAGACATCCCTGTGACATCAACGAAAACAAGGAGACCTCCCTGTGACATCAACGAAAAGAAGGAGACATCCCTGTGACATCAACGAAAACAAGGAGACCTCCCTGTGACATCAACGAATACAAGGAGACCTCCCTGTGACATCAACGAAAACAAGGAGACCACCCTGTGACATCAACGAAAACAAGGAGACCTCCCTGTGACATCAACGAAAACAAGGAGACCTCCCTGTATATTAAAAACATTGTCCAGCAGGATAAAGTCAACTGTTACAAATAGTATACATTGTGGTCTCACAAGGATATAAATGCAAATATGAACGGTCAGGACGCTACTTCTTTCAGTGGTTACAAATTTTTGTGGGCTGTGTCAATCTGCAAAATTCACTCAGAATTCACCATTTGGAATCTGGGGAAATTAATGGGATAATTGTTATCATGATCAAACAAAAGTATAAGAAACTGAATACAATCTTTATTCCAAATACAGGACAAATACCATACCAAATTCTATGCATTAACTCCCTTGTCACTTGAATATATTCAATTATTTTGTCCAAACACTGGGGCTTCATCATGAAATTAAACATTAAACATGATAAAAGTGATAAAACAAAACTTACAAGATTACAACTGGCTTAGCAAATGCTTACTTGCATAAATAAAGCACCTGTCTCTCTCGTCTACATGAACCACCACCCCGAGGATATCCACCTTGTGTATTGGATGATTCTTGTAGGCAAATGCTTCTGGAAAAGGTAAATCATTGTTCACACTCTAGTCATGCATATGTTGGTCAAAATATTCTTTTAAAAAACATGAGTTTTAAATTAATTCCACTTAAACACATCTTTTAATTTTTTTAAATATTTGGTAGCTGAGGGTTCTCTCTAACAGATAAAAGTCACTTAGTCTGTTCAAAATGTACTGGAACAAAATGTTTTCATACCCTTTAGAAAGTGTGAATGTTGAATAACACCACTTGCCGTCAGCAATGTTCCAGATATATCACAGTGGCCTAATAATCAATTAGTCTGGACCAGACCAGCCAGTGAAGGAAGCATGAGCAGCGCTCCACCATATCTGGGTCACGATGACACACAACCAGCCCTCAATACAGTCGAGTCCACTAATGCTTACAGGGAATAACTCCTACAGTCTTGAATAACGATTTTACACACCAGTGCCTCTACCCTTTTATTAAAGTGGTAGGTCCCACTTCATTGTGCACTAATGCCTACAGGGATTACAACAGACTTTTAAATGACATTTTATAAGATTTAATCATATCATCATTTTCATTTCTTCACACAAAATTACATTACATTACATATTATTGAATTCTTAATTGAGATTATATTACATTACATTCTAAATCATATATTACATCATTAATCAACATGAGTTATTTACATAAGTACAAATACACAAACATACAAATATACATTTCTGATGACAGCTGAAGTCATTCGAGCTGTTTGAGTCATTTAAGCCAACTTAATCAAATGTCCAGCAGCTGAGAGGAACTCCATGGGGGTCGTGATTTCAGTTGTCAGTTGGTCCTTCAGTTTTGTGAGTCCCTGGTCGGTCTCTGTGTAGATCCTCTTATGAGGTGGGGGACGGGCGCCATAGCGAAGCAGATGATCTTGTTGTCGTCTCCATCATCTATGCAAAGGAAGGGCACTCCATCAGAAGTTTCCTTGAAGTAGTATATAGAATGGGGATTCTGTGACAGGCCAACTAAGAGCGCCTTTATATGCCAATTCCGCTTCCAGCCCCAAGTATAAATTAACGATTTCGAGCAGAGACATCATTCGATGTACATCCCAGACCCCCGACATGCACCTTAGAAACTCCCCCCCGGGGGGTTTGTGGTTCTGTTACAGGCCAACTAAGAGCGTCATTATATGCCAATTCCGCTCCCAGCCCCCAAGTATAAATCAACGATTTCGAGCAGAGACATCATTCGATGCACAGCCCAGACCCCCGACATGCACCTCAACGATTTCGAGCAGAGACATCATTCGATGTACAGCCCAGACATGCACCTCAACGATTTCGAGCAGAGACATCATTCGATGTACAGCCCAGACATGCACCTTCGAAACTCCCCCAGGTGGTGGGATTCTGTTACAGGCCAACTAAGAGCGTTATTATATGCCAATTTCGTCACTCAGTAGTGGGCCTCAGAAACTCCCACCCACTGGTTTATGAGCGTGTGCCCGTACGCGTAAGTCGTAACGCCGTCGGTAGCGATCCACCGTTGCCAAGTATTTGCTAAGCATTGTTAGAAGTTTACGGGGGAGGATTGGGATTCCTGGGAGAGGATTGGGATTCTGGGAGAGGATTGGGATTCCTGGGAGAGGATTGGGATTCCCATATAGACAAGTAGGAAGTATGGGTATATATATGCCCAGGAAAAAACAACCATGCCACCAAGAAGAGATTTGTCTTCAGACAAGATCCAAGAAATACGCTCCCTTCGTGGGGTGCTCCCAGCAAGCGAGGTCAAAAAGCGCTTCGGTATTGGATCCACAAGTCTCTACGACATATGGCGAGATCCGATCGAGGAAACCATACCGCCAGCCGAAGAAGAAGTATCGTTGCCGGTCGACGAACCATTGACACAAAAGGTGACTCGGGATAGATCGAAAGTAGCAATACCCGATAGTATGTTACCAAACATCCAGGACTTCTACAACATCGAGACTCGTGTGAGGCAAACGACAAATATGTTGGTTGACGTCTTGTCTAGGCTGGACATCGACGACAACGAGGACGATTCCAAACTCCTGGAGGAAATAGAAGAGGAACAAGAAGAGACCCATTTCGACATACAGAAGGTAGGGCAGATGGTGGAATCGGCCCAAAGATGGGCCTACATTTCGCTAGCCGCTGTTGTTCTCTGGAAGGTCCTCCACAAGACCTGGAAGCACAGCAAACCAGTTTCCCCATTCCACCCACCAGCCGACAAGAAGGCAGAAATACCAAAGCCCCGGGACCCCTTCCACATGTAGTAACATTCATTTAGACATTTGACTTCGCATAAGGTATACACCATGTGGCCCGTGGGAACTTATTATTGCAAATGGGTATTGCTCGGCAAGCGGTAAATGCTGTATGGCTGAATATTGCCACTCGCATGCCAACTGTGCGAGAAAGGGTCATGTCAATTACGTATGCAAAGTATGCGGTATAGGGATCAAAGGACATTCTAGGTTATGTAAATCCCACGGAAGGGACTTAGTTCGAAACCAACTTATTTACGACAAGAAGAAAGACTACCTCAACAAACGTAACCGGCTGCTCAGGATGAAAGTTTAATGGGCACTTCATTTTTTTTTTGAAGGCTGACAGGGTTATCTGCACATTGAAAACACCCTATTAAACATTTGGCTCCGCATAAGGTATACACCATGACTACCATCAGCGAACTCAAAGCTCTCGCCAAAAGTCATGGACTGAGGGGTTATTCCCGCATGAGGAAACCCCAACTGCTCACCTTGCTTGATATGAAATATACCAAGCCCCCTACCGTGCGAGACCTCAAACTCCGAGCTAAAGAACGGGGATTGAAGGGTTATTCCCGCATGAGAAGAGCTGAGCTGATCACCTTGCTGGAAGACACCAGGCCAGTCGAGTTGAGATTCATGCTGACGGAGCACGCCGTGGGTAAGTATCTCCGGGGCTGGAAAATGATGGTTGATTCCAATATCGATACCGATACACTCAAACCCCCCATCGCTAGTAAACTCCGTGAAGAACTAGGCGACTTGAAAAGCATCAAGTACCAACTAACGATGAAAATGGAGCTCCAAAAACAGAATACGGACGGCAGTACGGAGTCCGTTGTACCTTATTTCAGAGGCAAACGGGAAGCCCTTACCCAACCAGAATTGATTGAATCCTCTATCGACGCGTCGTTGCAGAAAATACAAGAGTCGTTGGAGAGATATACCCACATGGGCTCTGGATGGGTGGTAGACAACACCGTTTATCTCGACATAGCGAACTACATGCAGCTCAGAGGTGGGTCGCACATACCGGTGCCCATGCATTTCAGGACCAAAAAGGCCCTCGTTAACCCCAAAACCCAAGGCGACAATGTTAACGATTACTGTGCGGTGGTGGCGGTCATAGCTGCTATGCATGAACCAACGGGTAATCCGGGCAGGTGTTCCAGCTATCCATCGATCGAAGAATCTGGATTCGACTTCACGGGTGTAGAACGCTTAACACCCATCTCCTACTGGGCGCAATTCGAAAAGCAAAACAAGGTGGCCGTCAACGTGTTCGGCCACGAAGGCGACAAAACCATCGTGCATAGGATAAGCCCTGTGGGTGATAAAACTGTGCGTAGAACCAATATATTCCTCATAAAAAAAGACGGCCAGTATCACTACACGGTGATAAAAAATCTGAGCCGGCTGTTGCACGATCAATCGATGCACAGAGAAAAGAAACACTTCTGCGAACGATGTCTGCACGGCTTCACGCGCCGACCTGCTGCAAGCGCACCAGGGGGATTGCCTAGGTGTAGGAGAGACGGCGATTCGAATCGACATGCCTAAGGAAGGCGACAACATCTTGAAATTCACCAACCACAAACATCAGATGCCTGTGCCTTACATGATCTACACAGACTTTGAAGCCCTCATCAAACGGGTCGAGCACGACGTGCCCAACACTGAGCAAAGTTTTACGTGCAAGGCCCAAGAACACCAAGCCTGCGGGTTCGGGTACGTGGTCGTCCGATGCGATGGACAAACGGATGCTCCAGTCATCTACCGAGGTCCTAGAGCGGCCGAACGATTCCTGATGTGTTTGTAACAGGAAGAGAAAATCATTAGGAAAAGGCTGTACACCGTCGCTCTCATGCGCATGACGCCGAAGGACCAAGTCGCTCACAAGCGTGCTGAGAATTGCCACGTATGCTAGGGACCGCTGAACTGGGATGTCGTGAGAGATCACTGACACATCACCGGCCGGTACCAAGGTGTCGCCCATAACGTGTGCAGCCTCCAGCTTAGAATCAACCCTAAAACAATCAACATCCCCGTGGTCTTCCACAATCTGAGAGGGTACGATGCCAACCTGATCATGCAGGCCATCTCGAAGGTCGGTGGTGATATCAAGTGCATCCCCAACAACATGGAAAAATACATCTCGTTCTCGCTCAACGGTCTGAGATTCATTGACAGCGCTCAGTTCCTCCTGTCATCGCTCGATAGTTTGGTCAAAGCCAATGACACCTTCCCCATCACTGATCGATACACCAACGCCGAGACTCGGCCCCTGTTGATGAGGAAGGGTGTGTACCCATACGAGTACATGGATGATTGGTTTAAGTTTGACGAGACCCGATTACCTCCCATCGGCCGATTTTACAGCAACCTGACCGAATCCCATATCTCCCAGGACGATTACGACCATGCGCAGAACGTGTGGAAGAAACTAAGCTGTAAGAATCTGGGTGACTACCACGATCTGTACTTGAGAACGGATGTGCTCCTGCTAGCCGATGTGTTCAAGACGTTCAGGACGATGTGTTTGAAACAGTATCAACTCGACCCTGCATGGTACTACACCAGCCCCGGTCTATCGTGGGATGCGCTGCTGAAGAAAACCGGAGTTAAGCTGGAATTGCTCACGGATTACGACATGCACCTGTTCATCGAGAAAGGCTTACGAGGAGGGATTTCCATGGCCGCCAAACGGTACGCAAGAGCCAACAATAAGTACGTGGAAGGCTACGACTCTAGCAAGCCCACCAATCATCTCCTTTATCTCGATGCCAACAACCTGTACGGCTGGGCTAGGAGTCAGTGTCTGCCTACTGGTGGGTTTGAGTGGTTGGACGATGAGATCGATATCACGAGCATCGCGCCGGATTCGGGGAAGGGTTACATCCTCGATGTGGATCTGGAGTATCCCCAGGCATTACACGCTACCCAATTCGCTGGCCCCCGAATGGTTGATGGTCTGCCGAGACTGGATGTCCGACTATCAGCGGGACTTGTTGGGTGAGAACACCCTGGCTCGGGTGGAAAAACTCGTCCCGAACTTGATGAACAAGACCAAGTACGTCGTGCACTATCGCAACCTGCAGCTGTACCTATCGTTGGCTATGAATCTGACCAAAATTCATAGGGTGCTTAAGTTTAACCAAAGTCCTTGGATGGAGCCCTACATCAGAATGAACACGGACCTGCGAAAGCTGGCCACCAGTGACTTCGAGAAGAACTTGTATAAGCTCATGAACAACTCAGTGTTTGGTAAGACGATGGAGAACCTGAGAAAACGGGTGACGGTCAAACTCGTGCGATCACACCAGGAGGAAAAAACTCAGGAAACTGATCGCTAGCCCAGCCTTCAACCGAAGCAAGCTATTCGATAACGACTTGGCGGCACTGCACATGAACAAAAGTCACATCAAGCTCAACCGACCCGTCTACGTGGGGATGAGCATTCTCGACCTGTCCAAACATCTCATGTATGATTTCTACTACAACCGGCTCAAGAAGCAATACGGTGATCGATGCGGGCTGTTGTACACGGACACGGATTCCTTGTTGCTGGATATACGCACCGAGGATGTGTACGAGGACATGGCAAAACACATACACCTGTACGACACCAGCGATTACCCCAAGGACCATGCCCCCTACACAGCACGATCAACAAAAGGTCCTCGGCAAGATGAAGGACGAATCGCGGCGGGCACACCCATCGCCGAATACGTCGGCTTGAGGCCTAAGATGTACTCCATCTTGAAAGCTGACAAGGGTGAGATCCGAAAGGCAAAGGGGGTCAAGAAATACGTGGTGAAACAACACATCAAGCACGCCCTCTTCAAACAAGCTCTGTTCAAGAATAAGATGTTCAAACACCGAATGAATGCGTTGAGAAGCGACAAACACAACATCTACGGCATCACCCTCAACAAGACGTCGCTGTCGCCCATGGACACCAAACGGTGGATCGCTGCCGACGGCGTCAAGACTTACGTGTACGGGCACATGCTCATAAACCAGTGGGTGGGAGTTTCTGAGGCCCACTACTGAGTGACGAAATTGGCATATAATAACGCTCTTAGTTGGCCTGTAACAGAATCCCACCACCTGGGGGAGTTTCGAAGGTGCATGTCTGGGCTGTACATCGAATGATGTCTCTGCTCGAAATCGTTGAGGTGCATGTCTGGGCTGTACATCGAATGATGTCTCTGCTCGAAATCGTTGAGGTGCATGTCGGGGGTCTGGGCTGTGCATCGAATGATGTCTCTGCTCGAAATCGTTAATTTATACTTGGGGGCTGGGAGAGGAATTGGCATATAAAGGCGCTCTTAGTTGGCCTGTCACAGAATCCCCATTCTATATACTACTCCTTGAAGCAGTCTGGTAGATCACCTCGCTGAGCGTCTGGGCAAGAGGCGACATCGTCTTTTGTCTCTGCTTTTAGAGTCCACTCTTCACTGAATAGAAGGACTTGACTGTCGCTGTTTCATCTCAGTCCAGTCTTGAAATCTCCTCATCGTAGATGGTCGGTACTGGTGTTGTCTTAGTCCATACCCGTCCCTGCAGAGCACTGGCAATCTTCAGAGCTGCTTGATCTTCCTGTGGATGGTTGTGTGAGGACTGATATCGAACAAACTGTCCGACTGTGGTGCACTTACCAAAGCAGCCTCCATGAACACACCTCAGGTGTACACAGGTCTGTCGTCGGTTGTTGAGTCTGTATCTGTAGCTATCTATAGCCAGGTGTTCGAGAAGCACGTTCACAGACAAAGTTATTTATTCATTAACTTGTGCTGTGCCGTCTCCATCCGTTCTCGAACACCTGGCTGTCCCTTTCTCTGCACTCCTCCCTCGTAACAAATAGTGAACTGTGTCAATATTTTAAAGATAGATTGTTAAACAAATTTTTTATTTTTAGGACAAAAATTCTGCAAATACCCCACAGAGTTTATATGATGTTTTGATTATGATCAGCGTTCAATGAGTATTTTATGTTTATTAGTTTTCGAGTTAGATTGCAATTCATAGGTCCGATTTTGAGCCAAACAGACTAGAGTAGTATCTGCTGTCCTCCTTTCTTTGATGTGAAGTACTTGACTTTCTTTTGGTTTGCCATGGTTAGCACAGAAGACTTTGATTACAAGCATTTTAAAGCAATACATTTCATTCTCAATAAGAAAAATCTCTCTCAATAAATGAAACATCTCCTTCTCACTTTGTTTTATCCCTCAATATGTTTTTCTATTCTTCAACCGTGTGAGATGAAGCATAGCCTCTGCTGATTGCTTTTTGCCTTCTACTCCCCTAATCCCATTGTAGGCATTAGTGCACACTAACCGGTACAGTCTACTTGTGTGCAGGTAAGCATATCGCTGTCACAACAAACTTTGTAGCTATTATTCCCTGTAGCTACTTTTCCCTGTGGGCATTAGTAGACCAAACCCTCAGTACAGCTGGGACAGGAGTAAGTGAGCATGGTTTTACATCGCGTTTAGCAATATTCCAGCAACATTCCAGCAATATTCCAGCAATATCAGGGAACACCAGTAATGGGCTTCACACATTGTACACATGTGGGGAATCGAACCCCGGTCTTCAGCATAATTCAGCGGGATGAATGAATGTTTTAACCACTAGGCTATGCTAACCTTGGTTTGTTGTTAAGGATTTTCTTCAGGACTATGAATTAAGTGCCCTTGGCACAGAAAAAAGATCTCTATATATTTATCAATTCAATGATACATTAGTTATTACCCTACAACATGCATTGGGAAACTTGTAGTTCCATGGTCCCGTTCCTCAAAGCGATCATAGCGCCATGATGATCATAACTCCCATACTTTAACATAGACTTACGATAGTCGTAAGCGCTACGATCGCATTGAGGAACGGGGCCCAGGTTGGTAGTTTTTGCAGACATGAGACATTAACCGACTTTGGACTAAATATTGGCCTCTTGATCAGGCCAAAATAAAACCCTAGTGGTTGTACCTATGAAGTGTGGGTAAAGTCGTAGCTTGAGTATATCTTGAATGTACATTTTGTTGTACACACGTAGATAGTAGTCCAGCCCCCATAGTTCCCGCTGGTGATACTGACTCGATCCATCATCCTCCATCTTCACCGGAACCTGTCAGAAACATTGATTATCGAAATGCATATAAACGTTTGGCGGAAAGACTTCCGCCCGTATGCCCCCTTAAATTTCATTCTAAATAGTCAAATCACATCACCAGAATAACATTCGTCATCTGATCAGAATGAGTTTTAACATGTTTCATTAATTATATGTACATACTGATAGATATATCCAACATCTATAAATGTCACTCAAGAAATTTCTCTCATCGTTAAAATTTAGGGGGGATACGGGCTGAAGTCTTACCCTCTATACGACTATAGTATAGGGGCATATAAAAAATTATCATGTGTGTCTATAGTAGCTATGCTCAGTGATTTTTCCAAACATGTGATTTTATTATAAGAAAAATGGCTTTATCTCATATGAACCTTAAGAAAGAAAACCATATTTTTTATTGAATTATATTGTCCATATATCTCATGTGAAAAAACCTACAAAAATGGCACCGTCAGGACCCCAAGAAACAGACAAAACAGAAAAAGTGACAACCGTACATAAAATATTCACTTTGGGTGGAAAAAATGAAATCTTTAAATCACAAATGTGTCCTTATCAATGTTGATTGGTGGGAACAAAATTTAAGGTCAAGGGTGTTCAATGTGATTTTATAAATAGAAAAATAGTGGAGAAAAAATAGCCGGAAATGAATGAAATTCTCCCAAAACATGCATTAATGTCTTTGCACTCAGTATGTCAACCACAAATTCAAAGGAGAAATGTTAAAGGAACTAAGTGGAAGATGTGTTTGTATTGAATAGTTGCATATGCAGTGAGTGAGAGTACAAGTTTCCTGTCTTGTGTAATATGTTGCAGTCATCAGTGGTTATCATTATGATACCGTTCGTCAGTTTAGTCTAGCCCTACTTGATGATAAATCTTTGATTTAGGGAATGTATAACAATTTTGATGATCATTTATTCAGTGAAAAATATGTGTAATATTCCACCAGTATGTAATACCTTGTCTGTCAGTCTGTCTGTCCTGTCCGTCCGTCTGTAATTCATTTCGTTTCCGGAGCAGAACTTGAAAACCGTTCATTATTTATTTCTGAAACTTTGTATGCATCAGCCAAGTACTGAAGTGGTGCCTTTTGATATTTTCAGAATACTAAAATTTTATTTCAATGGCTAGACTTAGAATTGCTTCTGGGTAAGGGTTTGTTTATGGATCAGAAAAATGATCTTAGGATTTAGGTGGAACTGGTGGGATAGTCATCTTCTGATGATTTTTGTTGTCACATTGATATAGAATAAACCTGACTTGACTTGACTTGATATAATAACTACTTTTAAAACAAATATAAAATATATGTACTAATTTACTAAATATTTACTCATGTGAAATTAAATGATATGGTAGAATTACCAAGACAGACAGGCCATGGGCTCTTAATAGACAAAGGCTGATCATTTTATATTTTTGCATTCAGATTTTCCCAATTTGTTTCTTTTGCAAATTGTCTAATTTTTCTGGACTGATAACCCTTTCTCATTGAAAAAGCTACAAAAACTTTTAACTCGATCATGAAATTGATAAAAATGCAGACCACATGTGAAAGTCATCCATTTTGAATTTGTTTAAAAATGCCTTTGTCACTTGAAAAAAATTATTTTAAGGTATGATTTATTAAGTATATACTTTTTTCTTTAAAATACGAAAGTTTCATTAGTGTAATAAGACATTTTCCCCACAAAATCAAATTTTCAAAAACATATTTTATCATAACAAAACTATTAAACCAAGTCTAGCTCTAAATATAGTTATTACACATCTGCCATTTACCACAGCCTGTAGTGCACATACTATTTCCCATCTTTGTAGAAGGGATTTGCTTCAAATCAACGTAAACTGAGGCAACCCTCATGACCTTGGTTTCAGCCCACACTGACTGAGGTCGGGCATTCGTAACTACTCGCCTCTTTCCGTGACCTGCAAGAAGACTCGTACCCCTATCGTACGCCATGTTTGCCAAGAATCGTGTCAAACCAATCAAATCGCGCGTAGTAACACGTGAAAAGGCATCAAATAGTTTCTTTGCGATTATCGGTTTTCATTATTATTTCAGTGATTAAAAAATTATTTTGTGACGTATATTTGTTAACGGCATAAGAAACCTACTTACAGTGATTTTTGGGATGTAATATAAATTAATTAGCGTATGACATTGTTGATGTATTCGAAGCATGGCTATACCGCCAAACTTTGAGACTTCGCTAAACTATGCAAAGCACAAATTAAACATTAACTTTGAGCTAAAGGATCAGCAACTTTCAACATTAAGACATCTTTACGAAGGGAATGACTGTATAGCTGTTTTGCCTACGGGATATGGCAAAAGTGTTATATTTCAACTTTTACCATGGCTGCTGCAAAAGGATCTGTCAGTTCCAGGGATGATCATCGTTGTGTGTCCACTTAATTCCTTGATGCAGGACCAGGTTATGTCATTGTGTGACCGAGGGATCAAAGCCTGTTTCCTTAATTCACAAGGTACGTGTTTTTTTAATTTTATTTAGATGGTAAATTACCATTCAGACTGTTACCTCCACCTGATGATTGTGCTTAGACTTAGCATGTTTTCATAATAAACACTTTCCCATCCATACCGAGTAGATCTATAGATCTATTCTAGCACCATGACATTTTTGTTAATTCAGATGAATAAGACCTCCAACCAAAACAATGATATCTGTAATATGCAATTTACTAAAGTTTCTCAAACAATTATGTACTCCTACCCTTTCAGATGAGGTAGAAGACAATGAGCCATGGCTACAAATATTTAGACACATTAAGAATCTTATTAACATGTAAGTTAACATTGATCTACAGTATGTCTTTAAAGGTTCAGTAAAAAGAGAACCCCATGTTTAGTCAATATAAAATGACAGCTTTTCATCATCTCAGTCTTTAGTCAACATGGTCAAATTGTAGTATTACCAATATGGGAAATAATCTGAACTATTTGCACATCAGCTTCTTTGTGCATTTAGAAGGTGAGAATGATCTTAAACATGTTAAAAGATCTAACACATATACTTAAACATGTACTTTTCCAGTGTCAACTTTGGCACTGTCAGCTACTCAGAGAGTAATGAATTTTATTTGTGTGAAAACTATCTGATATATATTGTTGAACTGGAAACTGAAGCTGCTTTCATATCAATTTGGAAAGGAATGAAGCAAGAATTTGGAATCACCATGCAATGTATAAAGAACATGTATGTGAGTCAAATCTGGCTTGTAACTGTATGTATGTAGTTAGTGTTTGTCTTCTAAATACTTCAACATATATACAAGTAATAACATGAAGTAACCAAGCCATTTTACTCTTAAGTATTGACTTGATGATCATACTGTATTCACAGGTACTGCTGGCAAGACATACAAGATGATCTCACGCCAGATTGATGTGGAGACGCTAGAAGAAGAGGACGACAATGATCAAGATGAAGTTGATGCAACTGAAAATGACATTCATGCACCAACTTATGTCAAGATGAAAGAACTGCAGCAGGGACAATTCAACATCATCTATGCTCATCCAGAGACTCTTCTAAACAACAAGACAGTTGGACGTCTACTCAGATCTCCACTTTTCCAAGAAAAAGTCTGCTTGTTGTTGTTGTTGATGAAGTGCACATGATATCCGAATGGTGAGCATGAACATGAAAAATTCAGGCTTGTATCAATCAGGAAGAATTGTATCTTGAGCATGGTCGAAATACAAACCATCACTTGTATATGATACTGAGTTAGCATGTAAAAAATATTTGCTTTATGATTCTAAAGTACATGTGGGGTGGTGGGGTAGCCTAGTGTTAAAGCATTAAGCTACTCATGCTGAACACCGGGTTCGATTCCCAACATGGGTACAGTGTGTGAAGCCAATTTCTGGTGTCCCTGCAGTGATTTTGCTGAAATAGTGCTACACATAGCATAAAATTAAACTCACTCACTTCGTTATTCCAAATGAATTATCTAAACTTCTTTTGTGTGCATTCTATATCAGTATGAGCACTTTTGACTGGCAGTGAATTCTTGGCAGTGGCTGATGTATAGAAGGAAATTGCCTCGAAGGCATCACATATAGTCAATCATATCCTTCAAACATAACCAAGATAATATTTATCTCTGACTGATAAGCAGAAAGATTTAACTTCGAAGTGAACAAACTTTGACCATCTATCATGTAATTATAAATGTCTTGGTAAGTCCCAAAATATTGGTAAAACAATGATTATCCAGACAAACAAATGATACCAAAAGCATTGTATACCATGTTATGGAAATGCGGCTATATGTCCTGTTTCATTTCTACAGGGGGCCAAAATTCAGAACAGCATTCAAAAAATTATCAGAGGTTATCTGCATTTTTCCAAATGCTGCTCATCTGGCACTGACTGCAACTGCTACCCCTCAAGCCATTAAAGAACTTGTTGCAGATCTTCAGATTGTCGACTTTAAGACGATCAGAATAAACCCTGATCGGGTGAACATTTTTCTGGAAGTATGTTTTTTTTCAAAATCATTATACTTGATACTCTGATGGTTATGCCCAGACACCAGTCCCAACATTAATACAATGTATGTAGGGCATGCATTATTTCTGTATGTCATTTTAATATAAGCATGAACATAATGTATGTTTTGGAAGTTATGGAAGAAATATCCAACCATATAGTTAGTTTTTATCTGAACATTACTTGCTTTGATGAAGCATGATTCACCTGAATGTTAGCAACCACATATTATGTGAAAGATTAGTTATACAAAGTTTAGACTATTACAAGTAAGATTGTGTGGTTGTTATATCTGGACCTGATTTTTTTTCAGATTCAAACTCGTCTGCCAAATATCAGGAAACAAGAAAAATTAGACAACCTAATTCAACCACTTGCTGAAGACCTGTGTGATCGTCTGGCTGAGTTCCCTCTTACAGTTGTTTACATCAACAATGATGAGGCACTGGGATATTGCTATCAGTACGTAGCAAGACATCTAAAGGAAAAGGCATACATTCCTAAAGAATCACCAATTCCAGAAAACCGGATTTTTGCTCAGTACCACAAGGCATACACAGATGAAATGAAAACACACATTGTGTCTGAACTGAGGAAATACAAACCAAAAATTAGGTTGGTCCTGGCCACTGTTGCCTTAGGCATGGGTCTGAATGCACCTAGCATCTGACGTGTAATCCATTTTCAACCCCTACAACCCTTGAGAAGTATTTCCAGGAAATAGGTCGGGCAGGACGAGACGGCAAAAAGTCCAGTGCCCAACTATTTTACAACAAGAATGACATTGCAAAGAATCGTGAGGATATGTCAGAGGCAATGATCAAGTACTGCACAAACAGGACCACTTGCTTGAGGTTACAGCTTGTTTCATATTTTGGTTTCGATTCAGTCATGTTTTCGGATAACCCAGCTGATTGTTGTATTAACTGCAGGACAACTAAGACAGGAATGTGAAATTTGTGATTATATAACTTGACTGGGTGTTCTACTACACAGAACGAGTATGGCCTCACAAATGTAATGTAGAGGTACCTGCGGATTCTGTAAAAAGGGGCTGCTTACACTAACCATGCTGACAGTGATGAATCTCCCTGTGAGTTCCGAGTATTGTTCGCAACTACATTTAGAAGGGTGCATTATTATACTTCGTCAGGCGTCCCACGGAACACTTATTTACTGAATAATTGCCTAGACATAATTGGAAGTGACTCAGGATCTGAGATAGAGGACTCGGTGGCTTAAAGTCCATAGGACCCAGCATGAATAACTATCGCTGAATTTGTTCTAACTTTAATATAGTTATCTTTAGCCCATCATTGTCATTATTTTGTGGTATAGGCTTATCAAACTGACTATATACAGAACCAATCATATTACAAATAAGTGTGTCAACAAATGTAAGAGACTAGAAAATATATATTTCCATCATAATGCTCTGTCAAACAATTGATGAATATTTCAATACTATAGTTTTGCATGAAAGTAATTGCAACCAGAGTTTTGTATCACGTTGGAAATTTTCCCAATCTAAGATCCTTTTAGGTGAGGTTATATAAGTACACTGTGCAAAAAAACCTAATCTTGTGCCTTACACTTTACCGGTTTTAATATATATATATACATAAATATGGGGTTGCAATTACTTTCATGACAAATTACATGTCAACCCACAGTAGTATCAATTGTTTTCTCTTAACATATGTACATGTCACATGATCATAATGAATGATGGAGATTGTCTCAAAGTCCAAGAATTAAAATTTTTATACTTATTATGGTTAATTGGCCTTTTCTGTTATCATTTATCATAACTATTTACATTGAAATAACAAACGTTAATCATACAAATATTGTCACCTGTCCTTTAATCCTGACCAATGTGATAACACAGTACAGTCCTTGCCCTGTATATCACCAAAAACTGTATGCACAAAGAATATTTAAGGTTCTAATGTTACACACAGAAAAAGTAAAGCTTGATTTCACTGGCACAGTCACTTGAGCAACATGAATCCTTAAGTGGCTTTACTTTCACAAACTACAAGTTTGAGTGAACCTGTTCACATGGAATCTAAGAATATTGTGTGAACTGTGATAGTGTCTAAGTTTCATTCCCTTATTTAGAGTCAGTTTTCCTCCACGTCATCATCATCAGGCAGAAAGACAACTCCCCTTTTCAGACGGTCCACATTAGTCTGGATGCTGTTTCTCATCTGTTGCACGTTGAAGGAAAATGGGGACTGACTAATTCCTTGGAAACCTTTCAGTTGCCTACCAGGAGTAACTTTCCATGGGTTACTGGCCTGCAGGACAGACAGTATCTCCTTGATGTCATCCGAAGATGATCTCTGTCTGTGACTTGTGTGATAGTCAGCAGATTTTGTCATTGAGACAACGTTATCATTGATGCTTTCAACAACTGGAGCAACTTTGGATATCTTAACAATTGACCTCTCTGTCTTGTTGGCACCAAGACCTTTTATCAGACCTTTTAATACCAGGACCTGATTTTCCTTTTGCATATCCGCTGCTTTGTTGTGGCCCTGTCTGCCAGTGGGATTCACAAATGATGCAGCACGTACTCTCATAGCCATGCGGGAGGACAGCATGATCTCAGTTTTCAGAATATAGTCAATACACTCCGACATGTATTTTGACAGAGCGGAGTGTGAGTAGAAATATGGTATCATGAACTTCAGAGTGATGTTGTTCAAGTACATGTTGCCTTCTGAGATAGCATCTTGATGAACAAGGATGACAAAGTACCAGTTCATGAAGTTAACCACATAATTGTGGAGATCATCTTCCATTAACACATCTTTGTTGATAAGAACTGGGGTTGTTAAACCTGGGAGAGGCACAGATACCCCATGCTCAACTTGTGTCAGAGTCGCAGTAAGCACAAAAATATTCCCCGGAGCACCAACTCGGACTTGTATTTGGTTGTTAACCACCCGGAACAGTCAACTTTGTCTTAGTCTGCCCCACTGTGACTGTCAAGTTGCACGTTCCTGCTTCAGATTTCTAGGGGTAAAAACAACACCGGTTTGAAATATGATATTATCATACACACATGAATAAACAGTACAATTTCAAACAACATTACAGAACCTTTTTACCTTTTACTGTTGAGAAAAACAGAAAAGAGCCTACAATTGAAACATAACGAAACTTATTGTTACCATAACTGTTATTAGCAAAACCTTTGAAATCCTTCCAGCATGTTGTTTCATTGAGAAATACTGTACTTGTGTTGTAAATGAAAATCATAACAGCACTCCATTTCATTAACTGAAATTATGAATTGTAAGGCTTGCACATAATGAAAGAAAAACACAAACCTTTTTCTTGTCCAATGGTGGAATGAACATGGTATCCAAAAGTTGGTCCATGATTCTGTGGAACACTTCCTCCTTCTTCTTGTTGTGCCACAAATTCACCTTTGGTGGGATATCTGGGTGTTTCAATTCATCGCTCAACTCCTTGAGTCCAAACATGTGCTTGGTCAGTTGAAGAAAGTATGACGTGCCTACGACATCTACAAACTGTTCATGTGCCTGAAAAACATACATTTTAGTGTTCAGGTTCATGTCTACTGTTATAGGTGATGAAACATATACTGACTGAGTGAGTTTGGTTTGACGCCGCTTTTAGCAATATTCCAGCAACATCACGGCAGGGGACACCAGAAAATGGGCTTGAAGAACACATTGTGCCCATGTGGGGATTCGAACCTGGGTCTTCGGTGTGACGAGCCAACGCTTTAACCATTAGGCTACCCCACCACCCCGATGAAACATATAAATATAATGTACAGTTTTAGATAGTGATGAGTATACTGGGTGTAATTAGATTTAGCTGGGTTGGGGTGGGAGTTATGTAACTACTAAGAGGTACAGCTTGGGGTTTGATTAATTCAGCTTTGGTCAGTTAATTGAGTGTGGCCAGCCATCTTGTGGGGAGAAGCTCGGTGACTCAATTTTTCTTGAGGACAGGACTTTTTTGCCAGCTGTTTTGTACCTATGATGTTCAACCGTGATAACACTAACTTGCACCCATGACTGTGATACATATGGAAAATGAGAAACTAGGAAATACCGGTATACAGAGTTTTGGAAGGATTTCTATATTACTCTTTTGTAACTATGGTCATTCTTTTGCTACAATGCTAAATTCTATGTAAGTAATCAAATAGAAATACCTTAAACCGCACTTTGACTTTCCCATTAACATTTGATCGTTGAATGACTAATTTCAAATGTCCAAGTGTGCCCTTGTCCATTCCCTTGTCAAGCTTGAGAAACTTCTTGCATAATTTCTGCAAATATTTCCAAAGAAACTTTCATGAAAGTCATTGTAACATAAATCATATCTGCTACTACACTTTGTGTCATAAAGTACAGATTGTAGTACTAATGTTTGGCTGAGTGCCATCCAGGATTCGAACCCAGACCCTTGGAGTAAGGCACCTTATCGCCAGCACACAAAGTCAGCCAACAAAAGCACCAGAATCTGTACTTTACAAGGCAAATTGAATCCCAAATATATGATACATTTAATCACTTTCTAAATGTGTATTCATAAGTCATCAAAATGTTGGATCAATACATATAAGGCACTTACACTCATTTGGCATAGTCGACATTGTTCGAAAGGTTAATTTAGAATGTAAGCACATTCAAGAACCCTTTAGGCTCAATTCACAGGTATTTGGAAGTTATTTTGCATTTGATTCCCACTAACCCCCATAACTGTTGGCTACTTACGAATAAGGGCTACATACTTGTGACAATATTATCCCTACCTCAAGGAAATCTTGAAGGGTGTGGAACATTTCCACAATGACTGGCTCAAGCTGATCAAATCTTGACTGCACAGTATGTGTCCCTTCCCTCAAGGCTTTTGCTCCTTGGAGTCTGACTCTGGTCAGTTGGTCGCCACCAACCGGAACTCGAAGTGTTTCAAGCTCTGAGCCTGAAATGAATTATTAATGTTTGGATACATATCAAAGGAAAATCATGCAACAACAACAAACTCTTATATGTAAGCTTATGAATACAAACATTAGGTAATATTTCATAGCTATATTGACAATGATTTACATAATCCCACAAATGTTATTGTTCTATATATATATTTACGTTTCTTAAGATATATATATATATATATATATATATATATATATATATATATATATATATATATATGCATAGATGCAATGATTAACCAAATCTTTAAGAAACGTGAAACATTTACCTCTGCCTGCTTTGGCATACCACTGGTTGATGTGTTTGGACGTAGGCATCCATTATGTCGATACAGTCCCGAGTATGATGCCTCATTTTTCAAAATAATTGGCAACAAGAAAATTGATGAAGCCTTTGACATCTCGACTTGTCTATCGTGTGGTACATGTGTTGGAAGGAGGCTTTTCATCCAGCTGAATGAACTGACATGCTCCACCAATTTCCTTTGCCAGCAAGATCTTTAAATTTTCTTTATAGTTTCTGATTTCTTCACAAGTTGGCAGGAAATCATCTGCACCCACTGATTCCATGTCTTTCTGAGGAGCTTGGTTTGACAAGAGTGAAGTATCAATCCTGTCTGCGACAAAGTCGGAAGCAAAGAAATGATAGTCTTTACTCTTGTTTGTCATTCGAACATCGTTCGTTGTTACTCTCAGATCTAGATTGTCACCATTTAGCTTCCCATCCAAACCTGTACAAGTCAATTACAGATCAGTTTAAACACACAATTTTTCTTGAAGCAAATCCAAACTTTTCATTCCTGATTATTATTATATCCTGTAACGCATGACAGTACAGATATTTATAACAGTTGTTGCACAACTGGTTACCTTAGAATTTATACATTCACAATGTACATATTGTATTACACAGATTATTTGAACATGAACATGTGTTTCACAAAATCTTTATGCCATGGCATCTAGACCTTTGGGAAGGATTTACTGGCTTACTGCTTGATTCTACAAGTACCTTCACTGAAATTAATTGTCAATATCAAGATAACCTGAAGAAACTGCCTGTATGATGTTATCTTCACAGTGGGCTGCATAACTGTCCAGCAGCTGGTCCTTGGTCTTGTCCGATAATGTCACATGGATCTTGTTCAGAACTGAGAGAAGCTGAAATATTTATCATAAGATTTAGCTTAATCCAAACTTGGGTAATAACACATTTTCCAAAGAGATTGAGGAAACATTATTAAATAACACATAAATATATATATAGGTTAAACAATTTTTACATTATGAAAATAAAGTTATGTATGTACACAAATATGCTTTAATAATTATAAATTTATTAATGAAATAAACATTTATTTACCAATACATGTCAGATACATTTTTAAAAAGATCACTTACTTGATATATCAGGATACCATCTTCAGTTTAGTGGTCAGCCATGCTTGAATTTAAACGAAGAACAGGAAACAAATGAACGAGTAACAAATACTATAAACATATCAAATCTATGGTGGTGTAAACTGTGTAACCAAATATAACAAACAACCCTGATGACTTTATCTCAAATAAACTTTATCAAGGTTATATAAAGTCTGAAAGTATATCTGGCTTATTTGGTAAATTTATTCAGTACATCATGCAAGTCCATACCAAAGATGTTTTGGCGCAGACATTTCCAAAGTGAAGGAAATCATTGTTTTGTTTTCATGAAAAACAACCCCACCATAAATAACAATGAACAGCATGCAGGCATGCATGGAACTTGGAACAGCATTCAATTGAAAGTGGAACAAAACCATTATTTAAATCTATATGTTGATGGTTCATATATTCCAAGGTATTATTATCAATGTCATATTACCATTTCATAATATTCTTTAATGTTCAAATTTAAAAGTGTTTATTGTACATAGATTAGGAAGTTAAATCAGTGGGAAACATCATCTAAATTTCAAGAAATTAAAACAAATTTAAGCTGAATGAATGCTAAAGATTAATAGTAATACGTTAGGATTTTAAATATATATATATATATTTATAAATAACAACATACTAACATCAATTTCAAGTTGTTTTTTTCAAAAGATAAAAAAAAGAAGCTCCTTTAACATGCTTCCAAAGAGCTTGTAAATAAAACCAAACTTAAAATGTTATTTAAATAAAGGTACCATGTTATCTGCATGATATCTGATGGCTGTGGTCGTAAATAGTCTCTGAACAGCTGACACTCTATTGTTATTTGAGTGGAGTATCATACCATAGATGGTAGCAATGGTAGAAATCTTCGAGGAAAGAGTTATCTTGTCACCTAGTGCAGAATGCAGAATGGAAAAGAGAAAAGGGGACACCCTCTGCAGTTCACACACTGCCTCCGAAAATACATCACAGGTGGACAAATACTGAGGGGACTTTGAATAGAGAACGCTCTTTCCTGGTGCACACATCTGAGTCAGTACTTGACACATATGATCAATGTGTGAGGCCCATCCACTTGTATCTGGTTTGGTCTCAATAAGTCTTTCTGCAGACAACTTGTTTTGTCTGTCAGTTTGTTCTGAACCAGATTGGACAGTACACTTTGCATATACATGTTCAAATTTCATAGGGTCATGTTGTGGCTGTGTTGTTGCTGCGTAGAGATGATCGTGCTTAGATATGTCAACACTCTGTGACGAATCATTTCTCTTGTCAGCAGAAGATGTTGTATCCTCCGAAAACAATTTTCTTCTGGATTCCTTTTGGTCTGATTTGTCTGACAGGGATGTGGACTCATCACTAATTCTTAGTTTCTCTACAGAAGAAATCAGTTGACTCGCAACGCTTAACCTTTTAGGTGTGCTTACCTTCGGGGTTCCAATTAGTCTTTTGGGCCGTTGTAGTTGCTCTAGTCCCGATTTGGCATTGCTTATTGCAGTCGCTTGGAAGACAGCAAAGCTTTCGACCTTATTGTGGCACGAACGGCAAATGTAAATATTTTACGAGGTCGAAGTACTAGAGCTGACCCATGAGTGAGTAATTCTTACGACGAGCTGTTAATACATCACGTCATGTATCCACGTCCTAAAGAATACTTCACCTGTAATGTCGACACATTTCAGCGCTTGTCATTCCAATATTCATATTTCCCCCTCACTTCAATGGGAGTGACCTCCCCTTGCATACCGCTAAAATGTCTTCTGATTAAAATGTGCTAAAATGTCGATGGAAGCTGAAAGTGTAATAACCTACTTATAGTTTACTAGACGTGCAATAACCTACTAGGAATGACAACACCATCAATGTTTAATTTGTATTTGTGTTATTTGTTTGTATGACTTAGTTGAACGGATGACTTGTAAACTACTGTTGAAACATAACAATTAATCATCTCTACATTTCCTCAGAATTGTAAGTTCTAAGTTTTGGTGTTACGTTGATGCAATAAAAGTGTATATGTTAATATCTAAGTGAGGGATATCTGAAGTATTGCGGCCATGATTAAGGCTTATATCATATCATTCGTGACCAACTCGTGTTATTCCAGGACAAGCCGAATACCGACTCGTGGAAGGATTTCATATTGGCGTATGAATATCAGAACTATTTCTTTTCCTGTTTGATTCCAATAGAATCACAGAAGCAGATTGTATTGCAGTTTTGTATGTGTATCTAAGTATTTCGTTGAAAGAATTAAACCTTTTTGATACAAATTAGAGAAGGAAAATAAATATTTATTAAACTTATATTTCCAAATGTATATTTCTGAATAGAGTTTGAGAAGCACGCAACGGATTTGTATGATTGACTATGTAAATAAAGCTAAAGAAATTCGGCTACATTTAATGTCAAAACAGATACTCAAAAATTACTTCAAAAATGATTTCTCAAAATGAACATTCGTGTAACCATGCTGCCACACGCCGGGTAGAATTTTAACATGAATACGCTGGAAAAAATATGGAGGACCCCAGAAACGTCAGACTAAAATATCCCCAGATATGTAAAATGTAAGCCCAATGTTAGACATTAAAGTTGAATAGCTATCGTCGCGATATCTAATGATATTTTTTTGTGTAAATATCGGAAAGCACGTGAAAACCTTGTGAAATATAACTGTTATGGTGCTGACTATGGAATGACACACATTCACTCTCTATCCCTATCTCTTTTAAATTTTGTCTTTCACCTGAACAAATCCAATTTTGTGAAATTTGGTAAAGTCAAATCAAATTAATTTTCTTTATTCAGTACTGTACAAGCCACAGGCCCTTTGTACAGAATGTATGGCAACAGTCACAATGTACTAGCTCGTCTTCTGCTGCTGGTAATCGTGTCATTCTGCGACCGTGGTGTAGTGGTTAGAGCGTCCGCCCGGAGAGCGGAAGGTCGCGGGTTCGATCCCCGACCGCGTCATACCAAGAGACGTTAAAATATGGTACTTGTTGGTCCCTGTCTGGCGCTCGGCATTAATGGGTACAACAAGGACTGGGCGGCTCGGAGTCAGTATAATGTGTCTGAGTGGGGTATTCATGCTTCACTGCGGTATGGTATCTCAGTGGGCTAGCACTATAAAACCAGCTTAAGTCTGGGCTAGTACAAGCAGCCGCACATACACATACACGCGCATGCACGTGGTCATATGAGCGAAATATTCTCAAGCACGACGTTAAACCCAATTTCACCTCACCCGTGTCATTCTACCTTTAACAGTTATACCACTGCTCATCTCAACCGACTGTGTTTCATACTGTTGGCGCGTAACATGAACGTGCAACTGAATAAAATTGGGATTTTCATGAAATTCCACTCAGAGTATTGTAAAATAAGTCTGGTGTTTTTGTAACTTGTACACAATGTTTGTGACTTCTCACAATCAAAACACTTTTCAGAATGTTTACGTTGTTCTTTTGGGAAAATGATCGCAAAGCATTAAGTATGTACTTTCTTTTATACTTCAGTCTATTTAACTAAAGAATCATTGGATTGTAAGAACTACGTATTCCTGTGTAAGTTTTCATCTTGGTTTCTCATTAGAATAGTGAACTTCTAAGTCTACTCGTTTATACTGAACATATTGGCACATATGGGATATCGGAATTTGGTAAAAACCATGGCAGGTTTGCAGAAAGCTGACTAACACTGCAGAGAGGCAGGCCCCACACGGCCCTTCCATATCACCTCTACAGCAGGAACAATACTGTCACTGGGAGTGAGTGAGTGTAGCTCTACGCCGCTTTTAGCAATATTCCAGCAATATCACGGTGGGGAACACCAGAAATGGGATTCATACAATGTACCCATGTGGGGACTCGAACCCGGGTCTTCGGCGTGACGAGCGAACGCTTGAACCACTAGGTTACCCCACCGCCCCGCGTCATTAAGACGTACAGGGAAATGCAGGACAGTAGGTGACCCTGTGAAGAGCCACCATCCACTGTTCATGTCTCCGGGTCGACTCCGGCCAGTTGATGCAAGGGGTCCACACCTCAGTGCAGTATTTGGAGGCTGTGGTCAGACTTTTGAAAATAGGCTGACTGTAGTAATGGGTTCCTTAGAACTGAAAACGTTCGTATGTAATGTGCATTATTGTAAGGTATTGCACCTTGTTTAATTCCTCATGTGACGATCAAAACCTGTGAAACAATGAAAATCGTTATTTGTATAAAATATATATAATTGATTTTTTTTATTCTGACGAGATGTCTGACAAATGAGGTTTAATCGGAGGCATTCAATTTTAACGTTTGGGAAACACACATAGTATTATGGGGCATGTCAACCGTGGCAGTATAGTGAGTTTAATATATCTGACAAATGGGTGAGAGCGACTCGATGACCAAACGCCTTTGTTGATGCTCACGACGTCAATCATTGGATTGTCCGATCCAGACAAATATATTTACATATCGCGGTTATATATAACTGCTATAAAGCTGAGTGTTGTGTTTAAAACAAATACTGTTTTAAGACTGCTGGTTGCCGGCGATGACAAGGTGCTAAAAGATCAAGTCGATAAGATTTGTTATTGCTATGTCCATACATGATACAGCCTCTCTATCGTGGCAGGACGACATGACCTAAATTACGCAGAATGAGTGTGATCTATTCTAGCTAAATGATATCATGTGCCTGAGTCACCGCCAGTATACATTCTCACCTATTACACAACAACACCTGTTTATTGAAGTATGTAGGTCACTGTATTAGACACCGAAGTTGACAGTGTCTGCGTTATACGTACGGTTGTTTGGACAACATGGAAACTTGACTATATAATAGGCGGTAAAATGTCTGCTTAACGGTTGTAGATCGGGTTATGAGATGCGAGTTTAGGACGGACCACACACGCGCGGGCGAGCATACTGAATGAAAGTCGTTAGAGTTGCACTTGTCCAGTTGACTGAGATGTAGGTTGTAGATGCAGCTTATAGATGTAGCTCTTAGGTGAAGCTTGAAGATGCCGGGTATGACCAGTCGTTGTAAGTTCGTGACTGGTGGTCGCTTTAACACGAAATTGGTGCTCGATGGTGATGTATCCGATTCGGGTGTCAGGGGCGATATTATACAGACATCACATCATGGAATATCTAACGACATGTTACGTGAATCTGCCGTATCCAGGAACACAGTGGTCGCTTGCTCACAGCAACAGACGAGTCTCATTTTGCTAGTCTGCAGTAACTATAAAATGAAAGATAGAACTAGTTCACACGAAAATAGTATATAACCCTTACTCTGCACCCATGTTCTAGCCTGCTTTCCCCACACAATATCTGCACTCTCAAAAATATTTTTCTGTGCTATGTTGAGCTGTGAATTAACTCTAAAATTGTACAAAATGGTCATTTCAAAATGTATTATGTACCAATGGCATGTAGACTTCTGTACAATTCAACTCGTCTCCAATCCATGTAGGTGGCGGAATCAGCCGAAAAGACCTCAACGTTTGACCCGTTGAAACGTGACAGGTCAAAGTGTTGATCTTCCAAGCAGGCCAGTGAGTCATAGTTTAGTGAGTAATCTAACCTCTATTTGGTCAAGGTGATACTGTTTCTTCACTGATTGGTTGGTTTGTTAGGTTTCTAAGCTCTGACTGGTCTATAGTTGCTTTAAAAGGCCCGCGTTCATCTTGTAGATACAGTTTCCTCTGAAGGCACATTACAGCTGAGACAGAGGTCTAGTACCGACAGCGATGGAGTTGTTGACGTGGTTGCTGACGGCCCTCACGCCCTTGTTGGTCACTCTGGTGGGAATTCTTGCCATAGTGTACATGTAAGTGTCCAGTTAGTGTGAACATACACATGTAATTTGTTGACTTAGAGTGAGTGAGTTTTAGTTTTATGTCGCTTTTAGCAATATTCCAGCTTTTAGCAATGTTCTGGGACACCAGTACTTGGCTTCACACATTGTTCCTATGTGGGGAATCAAACCCGAGTTTTCGATGTGACGAGCGAACGCTTCAACCACTAGGCTACCCCACCGCCTCTTGATCTAGAGAGGTGGTGTGCGTGTGCCTACGATCGGTGTGCCACTGCATGTGCGCGCGTGCGCGTGTGTTAGTGTGTGTTAAACTCTCATGTATGTTATATCTATGTGTGTGCCTTCATGCGCGGGTGTGTGATGTATGTGTTGGGGTCAAGTTGTAGGGAGATAATGTATGTGTATGTGTGTGTGCATGTGCGCTTAACGAAACACAAGAAACAATCCGCCCAACAGCTTTTCCTGATTGTTGCTGACCAAGGATGGAGGGAAGTGAATCTACCCCAGCGTATGGCAGCCGGGAGGTTGAGTTTCCTATACAGGCACAACATGAGGGGCCTGTGTTGTTGTTTGTCACCTGGAAAGCTCGACCTACTGCAGCATACCAGCACACACAGTTCAACCATTTCTCTGTGTCCGCATAAGAAAGAAGAACCCTGTTTCGATTATCAAGTTATTTCAAAAGACCCGGCTTCGATTCCCCAGATGGGTACAATGTATGGAGCCCATTTCTTGTGTCCCCTGCCGTGATAGTGCTAACAGCGGTGTAAAATCTTACTCACTCACTCACTCTAATATCAAGAGTATCTTATATCCAGTTCATTAAGACAAATACCCTCTAACCATTAAATCTTCGTTTGTGACGTCACCATACCCACATCTCTTATTGTAAACGTTTTCTCACTGATGAATGTATTGCAGCGATGTGATTGGACGACAGCTTGCGGCGATGTGATTGGACGACAGCTTGCGGCGATGTGATTGATTGTTGTTTTACGCCGCACTCAGCAATATTCCAGCAAAATGGCGGAGTTCTGTAAATAATCGAGTCTGGTCCAGACAATCCAGTGATCAACAGCATGAACATCGATCTACGCAATTGGGATACGATGGCATTTGTCAACCAGATCAGCGAGCCTGACCACCCGATCCCGTTAGTCGACTCTTACGACAAGAATGAGTTGTTGAAGATCAATTCTAACCCGGATCTTCATTGGTGACAAACTAATGGCGAATGTTGGATTCGAACTAAGAGCAATAGATAATCGGAATCTTCACAGCCTTCTGCGATCTACAGGATCACTTACAACCCCTTTGGTTTATGTCACACCAACGCCGTCATATCTGTCGAAATATGTATTTCCCATCATGCAATAATTCACAGGTATGTGACATGGAGCCATGACTACTTCCGGAAGTTAGGTATCCCAGGCCCGAAGCCAGGACTTACGGGAAACATGGGCAACTACAAAAAGGCGGTAAGAGCCACACATACTTTGATACGACACAATCTTAAGTAGCTGTTATAGCTATTGTGCGGCACAAAACAACATTTACTCAAATGATCTATTTTAATTAGTATGCTCTTTTAACTATATTTAGCACGGGGAGATTATTAGGACAAGATACTTGAAATACAATCAGAATCACAGACAATGAAGCCCCATAAAAGAATATTAGACGAATGAAGTTTCACGACCAATACATGCGATTCGTTGATCCGCATATTGGTAACTGATTTCACTTGGGTACTACTGTCCGGATAATCGGGGTGAAAATGATCACTTTAATATTTGTTGACACAGGGCGTCATTGGCAACGACGTGGAACTGGTGAGAAAATACGGAAGAGTTGTGGGGTAAGTTTCTAACCAACACATAGTTACATATACATCCCATCAAAAGTTTAGACTCACTAGTGTAAATATGGCCACTTACTTCAGTCAACTGTTCTAAACTAAATTTTGCAAAATATTCAATACTGTTTGAAGGTACTGTTTACACATGAACTGATGTATTGTAAAACAAATTCGTAACGTTGAAAAAAGATTATTGTCATGAGTTCAATAAATGATAAAAATCAGTAACAATGAGCGAATTCTTAAGAAAAGTTTACACCAAAACGCAGCTGTTCACAATATTTGCACATGCTTTTCAGCAATTTGATGCGAGATCCTCGTGCAGTTCATCTGCATAATGTTAATATTTTGTACAAACTGCAGAATCTGTTGTGTCCTTTAAAGACCTATGCAGCACAGAGTCACATACTGTACACATAGGATGGAAGACATGGTGGCCTTAATTCCACTTGCCGGTTTTAATTGTCCTAATACCCGTCCAGGGAACTGAGACTGCCCTGGTCCGAGTCTGACATCGTGTTATTGTGAAACCTGGCGTGGTGTCACTGACATTTTGGTTGGAGTAAAAGCAGTCGTAGTGGTGGTGATAGTATTAGTAGTAAAGGCAGTAGAAGAGGTAGTAGTAGTTGTAGTAGAAGTTAGTTGTAGTAAGTTGTAGTAGTATAGTAGTAGTAGTAAGTAGTGGTGGGTGAGGTGAGGTGAAACTGGGCTTAACGTCGTGCTTGAGAATATTTCGCTCATATGACGACATGCATGCGTGTGTGTGTATGTGCGGCTGCTTGTACTAGCCCAGACTGAAGCTGGTTTTATAGTGCTAGCCCACTGAGATACCACGCCGCAGTGAAGCATGAATACCCCACTCACACACATTATACTGACTCCGAGCCGACCAGTTGTACCCATTAATGCCGAGCGCCAGGCAGGGACCAACAAGTACCATATTTTAACGTCTTTTGGTATGACGCGGTCGGGGATTGAACCCGCGACCTTCCGCTCTCCGTGCAGACGCTCTAACCACTACACCGCGAAGGCGGTCAGTAAGTAGTGGTGGTAGTAGAAGTAGTAGTAGTAGTAGTAGTAGTAGTAGTAGTAGTAGTAGTAGTAGTAGTAGTAGTAGCAGTAGCAGTAGCAGTAATAGTAGTAGCAGTAGTAGTAATAGCAGTAGTAGTAATAGTTGTAGAAGCAGCAGTAGCTGTAGAAGTAGTAGCAGTAGTAGTAGTAGTAGTAGCAGTAGTAGTAATAGTTGTAGAAGTAGCTTTAGAAGTAGTAGTCGTGGCAGCAGTAGTTGCAGTTTCTACAAAACATCATTATAGCGCACTCCACTGCCTGGTCTTAGTTGTTTGATGTTATATTTCAGGATTTACCATTGTCGCCTTCCCATCATGCTGGTGTCTGACCCGGAAATGATTAAAGAGATTTGTGTGAAACAATTCTCCAACTTCACCAACAGGAAGGTAAATGACCCCTCCTCTACAAGTCTGCTACACGTCTCGTAGACGAGGATAATCCGGTGAAAGCGTGGAATTATGTTTGCACAGGAAATGTGCCGAAAGTCCCTATGCAGAGTTGCTTCCCTTAGCCCCCTCCAGTATCCGCTTAAAATGGGACCAAATGACTGTGTGAAGAGTTTGATAAATGGTACCACGGTGACTCATGGGTGTTTCTACCCGTGAAGGTCCGGGTTAGAATTGAACTTCAGTAACCCATGCTTGTCGTTAGAGGCGACTAACGGAATCGGCTGGTCAGGGTCGCTGACTTGGTTGACACATGTCACCGGTTCCAATTGCGCAGATCGATGCTCATGCTGTTGATCACTGGATTGTCTGGTCCAGACTCGATTATTTACAGACCTCCGCCATATAGCTGGAACTCACTCACTCATGGGTGTTTCACTAATGTGACTGTTATATAGCTGGATGTGGCTTTAGATACATACCAATTGCCCGAAGCAACGCAGGCGTTGAGATGGAGGTTGATATTTGGAAAAAGCAGAAATCATATTCAAGGTTGAATTCTATTAATCATGAAGAATCATATACAGAATCCATTGCACAATATAGTCATGTTTATGATTCAGGATGATTCATATGAGCAAAGGGTATGGGAAGGTGCTTCTTTTTTTTTGGTAGGATGTCGTCATCTTGGGTTAGTTGGATTTCGAATGCCAGTCAGTCTTAACAGGGTCTCATGGTTAGTTGCTGTCATAGCCAGGCTGGTGTCACCGCTGGAATATTGCTAAAAGCGGAGTAAAATCTTACGGACGCACGCACGCACTCACGCGCTCACTCATTTAATAATCCTTCTTCTTCAGCGGCCTGAACCCATCAACAAGGTGTTCAAGAGTGCTGTGTCGGTGGTGGAGGACGACCACTGGAAGTTCAGTCGCAGCGTCCTGAGTCCCACTTTCAGCTCTGGCAAGATGCGACAGGTACCTTACCAATACAGCTAGCTGACGGCCGCACGTTACACCACCAGGATACCCCGACATACATTAATGTCTAAGTACCAAATTCTCGTTAAAGCCGAGAAGGCCCAGACTGAGGTTCAAGCACAGATTGTCTTTAAAGTCCAGATTGTCTTTAAAGTCCAGGTTGTCGTTATGGCCCAGGTTGTCGTTAAGGCCCAGTTTGTCGTTAAAACCTAGATTGTCGTTATAGCCTAGATTGTCGTTAGGCCCAGATTGTGGTTAAGGCCCAGAATGTATTTGAAGCCCAGATTGTCGTTAGTTCAGACCGCTGGTTACAGTTCATTGTGTTCGAGGGGTCCTCTGCCGATACAACAAACCTGGTTCAGGTTTGATTATTTACAGCTGGAATATTTCTGACTGCCGCGTATAACAATATTCACTCACTCACACTAGATAACATATGATTAATATTCGTGTCTCCGTGATTTGTTAACAAAACCCGTCGTCACACGGCTAGCCCTACTGTGAGACCTCGGCACGATGCTTCATGCTTATTGTGCTAGGATCATGTTCTTTTCGGATCGTGGTTTCACCCTTTCTCTTCCCACAGAGATTACTTGCTTGTCTGTCATATCTTCCTACGAAAGATATGACAAGTAACCTCTGTGGGAAGAGAATGGGTTTCACCAAAGTATTGACCCTTGATGACCAGGTCAGAATGGGTTTACATCAACCCGCGTTTGTCAGAACATGAGACTATACATGTTCTAAGTGGCGACTAACGGGATCGGGTGTCAGGCTCGCTGACTGGGTTGATGTAGGCTATCCTGTTCCAAATGCGTAGATCGTTTGTTACAGACTGCTTTCATGTAGTTGGAAAATCACTGAACATTGCATGCGAGCTTGGACCAGATCATCATCTACACAGTTGGAACACGATGACATAAACAACAAACAACCAAAGTGGTAGAGGCCAAGACTTGCTTCACTTGAGATTTCCTCCCAGTTTATGCTGACACGCCGTAACCTAAAGCCCGGCTTCGAGTTGTAACGCGGGATAACTTAGTGAAGCCCTTATCTGGTGTCCCCCGTCGTGCTGTATCTGAAATATTATAAGTTGTATGCTTCTCTCGAGGGTAATACGGTCTGATGTACGCCTCTTTGTAGCAGTGTCACCCGAGCCAGACGGCAAGGCATGACACTGCTACAAAAAAGGCGTACATCAGACTATTACCCGAGGGAGAAGCATACAACCTATTTGTCTTACCGCCATGTTAAATGTACAAAATAGCATTTTATCTTATGTTAAAGATCGCTACCAACTATATGACATGCAAACAAAATGGCGTCCGCCTCTCGACTGGATTTTTAACATCAGTGAAACATATTCTGACAAGCATAAAACTGCTATAAAAATGGTTCATTATGTTAAAGCTGAGTGTGCAAACCACTCAATGTATTAAATAGCTTAAATAAAGCAGTGAAAGTCGGTAAAACAAATCTGTACAAAGTGAACACAAAAGCAGCTGATCGAACGGTTTTCGAACTCCGGGCACGGCATGCGTCATATTATGACGTCATACAATTGTTAGCGCTTCAGCTTCTCGGCGGAGAGCTTGGCGGTTACCGTGGTAGCGGGTAATATTTTTTCAAGCTGACACGGAAACTTGTTAAACCGTCATTGAACAATGAAATTAAAGTATTTTATATGAAAGTAAGATAATGCTATTTATAACCGACATGTAACTTTACACACTCACTTAGTATTCAACAATTCGAAGTGGGCTTTTCAAGTAACAATTTCACTTTTTGCAGATGGTTCCGCTGATCCAGAAGTGCACAGCGAGTTTGGTCCAGAACCTAGAACGCCAGTCCAGGGGAGGTGGAAGCGTCGAGATGAAAAAGTGAGGGCTTTTGTGTGTAAAGTGTTGATGCAGTGAACAGATGCTGATTCATTAAATATGCAAATGAGGGTGTCACGATTAATTAAATATGCAAATAAGAGTGTCGAGCAGAACGTCTTAATATTTAGAAAATAAAGTTCGCTCTACCCCAATGTGTTTTGTAATAAAGTATAGTTTTGCCCTGAACTATTATAATTAAAGCACGAGGACGGTAGTCCTCTACTACCAACGTAAGTTTAGATCGAATCTTAGAATATAACATCCATCGCATTTGATGTCTACATGATCAGTCCACAATTGTAAGGGCTTCTCTTGCTACTACTCTTTTCATTGTATACCCGGCGGTTCTCTCAGGTATTTGCATTACTTCACACGCGGTTTCTAATCGGTAGATATTAAACGCCCATTTATACAAGTTCTGATACTACCGTGATTTTACCGCTACGTAGAAAGTGACGTTCGTAAGTGAGGTGTTATTTAGGTCTTCAACCCTTCAAGAGTCGCTCAATAGCTGCCTTTAGTTACTGTAGTTTGTAAACTGGATACACTGTTACAGTGTGATGGGCTGCTACACGCTGGATGTGATCGCCAGCACGGGGTTTGGGATGGAGGTGAACAGCCAGGAGAACCCCAGGAACGTGTTCGTGAAGAACGCTAAAGAGGCCATGTCCGCCAGCTTCACGTTTCCTTACGTCACGTCACGTATGTCCACTTGACAATGACTTAGTTTGATTTAGATTTTACCACTACTTTAAACAGAAACATCTATTGATATGTCACAGGAAATATTGATGAACTATGGCTCAAGTAACTTTCAATTTGATCATATGAAACCTGCGCCTCTGTTGGTTGGAACAACTCGGCATCTACCTGCCGTAGCCAACCCATGTATTGGATAAAACATTCGAGTTAGGCATCTACTTGCCCTGACCAACCCATGTATTGGATAAAACATTCGAGTTAGGCATCTACCTGCCCTGACCAACCCATGTATTGGATAAAACATTCGAGTTGGGCATCTAACGGCCCTGACCAACCCATGTATTGGATAAAACATTCGAGTAGTGTATCTACCTGCCGTGACCAACCCATGTATCAGATAAAACATTCGAGTTAGGTATCTACCTGCCGTGACCAACCCATGTGTTGGCTCCAATAACATGCCTGAGGGGTCTCACCCATTGGTCCGTCGGTATGCGTCGATAGTGGCACACGGTGTTATATTTGTAAGACATCACAGTGGATGAATTGTGTTCGTTCTCTTCTCCAGTGCTGTTTCCGTTTATGAGGGACGTATTCGAGGCCCTGGGGTGGAGCTTCATGTCGAAGAACAGTAGAGAATTCTTCTTCAACGTCATGGATAAAGCTATTGATGATAGACGCCAGAACCCGTCGGTAATTCTCCCCTCTCTCACTTTATGCCTCCAGCATTGTCCAACATGATATTGGTGAAAGTGAATACTCAGTCACTCACTCACTCACTCAGTCACTCACTCAGTCACTCACTCACTCACCCACCAACTCAGTCACTCACTCAGTCACTCACTCTACAGGATCGACGGGACCTACTCCAGCTGATGCTCAACACCCACACACTGGAGAACAAGATGGAGGCAGACGATGTCCAGGACGCTCAGCTGGACTTCAGCAAGATCAGAAAACGGCGTAAGTTCTTCATCTTCAAACACATAGTTACAGCAACTGCTGTCGAAACAAAGCACAATATCTTCTATCGCTCAGGTACCTGAATAGAATCTTCATTCGTCCCTACCCTACTCCTTCCGGATCCTGGACAGAAACATTCGGGACCAACTCTTGATGGTGGAGGACAGTGGCGGGTGGTGACAAATGCTGCAAGAAGATCCTTCTATTTGCCCCAGAATTACACGTGTTGTCGTCAATACATCAGCTGCAAATGTCGACGTAAGCCTCATGAATGTGGCGAGGGGAATGTATGCTGAGCGATTCGAGGCATGTTCATGTAGATATATATATCTGCTCGTGTTAACCTTTACTCAGATGTATAAGCAGTCGTAAACAAATACTTTTTAAACATTGTTTTAAGGACTGGCTATGCAGATTTGAATAAAACTCATGTGTCTCTTGCAGCTCTCACGAACGACGAGATAATGTCCAACTCGGTAGTGTTCATGTTGGCTGGGTATGACACCACGTCAGGAGCACTGTCATTCGCCTCATACCTGCTGGCGACAAATCTCGACTGTCAGGACAAACTCATTCAGGAAATCGACCAGCATCTGGGGAAGGTACGTCCTTGAATAAACGTCTGCCTTAGATAAACGCCTCTGATAAATGACTGCTTTGAATGCATGTCTGCCTTGAAACAAACACTCCCAAAATGGGTTCATATTATGCTATCGATAGGTTGAACTTTGCTGAATACGTGCGTCTGTTGCCGTTCCTGTTTTAACATTCATATTATGGATAATGTTGTTGGTATAAAGATGTTGATTAAGCTGAGAGTTTACTTGTTACCAGGACCTGGCTACCTATGACAATGTGATGAACCTGCCATACTTAGAGCGTGTATTCCTGGAGACTCTACGTCTGTATCCCCCAGCGTCCAGGTGAGTGAGTGAGTGAGGCGAGTGAGGTAGGTGAGTGAGTGAGTGAGTGCGTGTTTACAGGCCGTCGTCAAATGGCACCAGCAGCTAGATGACCATGTGAGCTGAGGGGCCACAGTTAGCTGTTCAAAGTTATGTCCCTTGTCATGCCAGGATCCGTGATTAGTAATTAGTTGTCACAGACATTATGTTGAGTTTGTCCAGTTTTGCAAATACAGCTTCCACGGCACTTCATCGAATGGCTTTAACATCTGCTACTATCTTTTCCAGATTCTCTCGAATGGCGAAGAACGACATCACCATCAAAGGCTACCTGATCAAGGCCGGAACGTCCGTCAACTTCCCCATCTACGCCATGCACCACGACCCGGAGTTCTGGAAGGAACCAGAGAAGTTCCAGCCTGACAGGTGAGCCTTGACTTCCCACGGCGCGTTATTGCTATTCATGTGGAGGCTGACATGTGATGACAATCATCATGATCATCATATAGTTCATCGTATCTCCATTCGATGATTACTCTTCACCAATTCGCCGTCATAGCTTTTTTTGGGAAGTGACGTCACCCCTTCCCTCCCTCTTATCACTAACTAATCAAAGAATTTCCCCATTCATAATCTTGAAATCAGCCAGTCAAAATGCCTCTTATTGAAACAGAGGTAGGCAGATATCCACATTTAAGATAGCATACATTTAATCGTACAGGAAGACTGTAGAAAATGAAGATTTAGCTGTGAAAGTTGCTTTTTATGTATACAAAACCTGCGGAGGGTCGTCCACATGCTAGAAGGCATATTGGTTGTATTTGAGAGGGCTCGCTAAACCTTACACGTCATGTGATACTTGCGTGGCTACAGAATCACTGAACCCCTGAAGGTCCGGGTTAGAATGAACCTTCAGTAACCCATGCTTGTCGTACGAGGCGACTAACGGGATCGGTCGGTCAGGCTCGCTGACTGAGTTGGCACATGTCGATGATCGATGTTCATGCTGTTGATTCCTGGATTGTCTGGTCCAGACTCGATTATTTACAGACCGCCGCCATATAGCTGGAATATTGGTGAGTGCGGCGTAAAACTCAACTCACTCACTCACTCACTCACAGAGTCACTGAACAGTTAGCTGTACAGAGTTGCGTCCCTTGGTTGTACTGGAAATAGTAAGATTCTTTCGTCATGATAATTTCATGTTCTCCTACATCAACCTGCCAAGTCGTGAAATACCTCTACCAGATCAAAACCAGACTCTGTTTGTTCTAGGTTTCTGCCAGAAAACAAGACAGCTATGCACGACTACTGTTTTGCTCCGTTTGGCGTCGGTCCCCGGAACTGTGTGGGCATGAGGCTGGCGTTTCTAGAATTCAAGATGGCGCTTGTGACAGTTCTGCAGCACTTCCGGTTCCGTACAGCGCCGGACACTGAGGTAGAGTAGACACATTAGCACTGAAGTATCAAACCAGGATCCAAGAATTGTGCCCTGGTTACAGCTAACCCGTTGTCACATCGTGAAGATGGGTGTTCCTAATGTGTGACTCTGCCAGGACAGTGTGGGCTGATGCTTATCTTATAAACTGGGTTTGCCTAGTCGAAACATGTTCGAGTATCTGGCTGGAAAATTGGAAGAACTAACTCACTCACTCACTTACTCTAGAAAATCCTCCTTACCATTCCGCGTTTCCATGTATTGCAATGTACATGTGATTGTATCCCAGTTTGTCTATTTAACGCCACACACAGCACAATCCCAGGTATGAGTGAGTATAGTTTTAGCAATATCCCCGCAATATCACCATAAATGGGCTGTACACATATCGTACCCATGTGGGGGAATCGAACCCGGATCTTCGCCGTGACGAGCAAACGCTTTTAGCACTAGGTCATCCCGTCGCCCCCTCAGCCCAGCTGTCCACACAAAAATCCCCAACTTTACGACACCCAATCCCCAACTCCCGTAATTACTACACAAGTACAGATTGTTTCAATACACATATACACAGTTGCTTCAATGAACAATTACAGGTACTCTGTGTTAGGGATGAAATATTGTTACAATTGTGGCTCCAGCAAGGAAAACAAATGTGAACTCAAAATCTTCGTGTATATTTTCAGATTCCTCCCAAACTGGAGAAAGGAGGCTTCGTGAGGGCACTGAACGGTATCTACCTCCGAGTGGACAAAAGAACCTAGATGCCTCCATTATTGGGCTGAACATGTGCGGAACTAAACATATAATAGTATTTAAACCAGATCTTAAAGTGTGACCATTTGCTGCTGGACGTACCAATTCCAATCCCACCTTCTGTTTCATGATGATTCTAGGGCTGTAAGCACCACTCACGACGCGTCGGTTTCTACAATGTGCCAACTGTTCAACATCCTTACTGGACAATTTTCACAGTCACAATAGGGGAATGCGACATGCTGTAGCAGTCATAGCAAGCTAACTCTGTTATATCATACCAGATGGTTCATCATTATCACATATATACACCAAGTCACAATAGGGGAACACGACATGCTGTAGCAGTCATAGCAAGCTAACTCTGTTATATCATACCAGTTGGTTCATCATTATCACATATATACACCAAGTCACAATAGGGGAACGCGACATACTGTAGCAGTCATAGCAAGCTAACTCTGTTATATCATACCAGATGGTTAATCATTATCACATATATACACCAAGTCACAATAAGGGAACGCGACATGCTGTAGCGGTCATATCAAGCTTACTCTGTTATATCATACCAGATGGTTCATCATTATCACATATATACACCAAGTCACAATAGGGGAACGCGACATGCTGTAGCAGTCATAGCAAGCTAACTCTGTTATATCATACCAAATGGTTCATCATTATCACATATATACACCACGTCACAATAGGGGAACGCGACATACTGTAGCGGTCATAGCAAGCTAACTCTGTTATATCATACCAGATGGTTCATCATTATCACATATATACACCAAGTCACAATAGGGGAACGCGACATGCTGTAGCGGTCATACCAAGCTAACTCTGTTATATCATACCAGTTGGTTCATCATTATCACATATATACACCAAGTCACAATAGGGGAACGCGACATGCTGTAGCGGTCATAGCAAGCTAACTCTGTTATATCATACCAGATGGTTCATCATTATCACATATATACACCAAGTCACAATAGGGGAACGCGACATGCTGTAGCAGTCATAGCAAGCTAACTCTGTTATATCATACCAGATGGTTCATCATTATCACATATATACACCAAGTCACAATAGGGGAACGCGACATGCTGTAGCAGTCATAGCAAGCTAACTCTGTTATATCATACCAGATGGTTCATCATTATCACATATATACACCAAGTCACAATAGGGGAACGCGACATACTGTAGCGGTCATAGCAAGCTAACTCTGTTATATCATACCGGATGGTTCATCATTATCACATATATACACCAAGTCACAATAGGGGAACGCGACATGCTGTAGCGGTCATACCAAGCTAACTCTGTTATATCATACCAGATGGTTCATCATTATCACATATATACACCAAGTCACAATAGGGGAACGCGACATACTGTAGCGGTCATAGCAAGCTAACTCTGTTATATCATACCGGATGGTTCATCATTATCACATATATACACCAAGTCACAATAGGGGAACGCGACATGCTGTAGCAGTCATAGCAAGCTAACTCTGTTATATCATACCAGTTGGTTCATCATTATCACATATATACACCAAGTCACAATAGGGGAACGCGACATGCTGTAGCGGTCATATCAAGCTAACTCTGTTATATCATACCAGATGGTTCATCATTATCACATATATACACCAAGTCACAATAGGGGAACGCGACATGCTGTAGCGGTCATACCAAGCTAACTCTGTTATATCATACCAGATGGTTCATCATTATCACATATATACACCAAGTCACAATAGGGGAACGCGACATGCTGTAGCAGTCATAGCAAGCTAACTCTGTTATATCATACCAAATGGTTCATCATTATCACATATATACACCACGTCACAATAGGGGAACGCGACATACTGTAGCGGTCATAGCAAGCTAACTCTGTTATATCATACCAGATGGTTCATCATTATCACATATATACACCAAGTCACAATAGGGGAACGCGACATGCTGTAGCGGTCATACCAAGCTAACTCTGTTATATCATACCAGATGGTTCATCATTATCAAATATATACACCAAGTCACAATAGGGGAACGCGACATGCTGTAGCAGTCATAGCAAGCTAACTCTGTTATATCATACCAGATGGTTCATCATTATCACATATATACACCAAGTCACAATAGGGGAACGCGACATGCTGTAGCGGTCATACCAAGCTAACTCTGTTATATCATACCAGTTGGTTCATCATTATCACATATATACACCAAGTCACAATAGGGGAACGCGACATGCTGTAGCGGTCATATCAAGCTAACTCTGTTATAGCATACCAGATGGTTCATCATTATCACATATATACACCAAGTCACAATAGGGGAACTCGAGGGGAGTAACTCTGTTATATCATACCAGTTGGTCCATCATTATCACATATATACACCAAGTCACAATAGGGGAACGCGACATGCTGTAGCAGTCATAGCAAGCTAACTCTGTTATAGCATACCAGATGGTCTCTCATTATCACGTATATACACCAAGTCACAATAGGGCAACGCGACATGCTGTAGCTGTCGTAGCAAGCTAACTCTGTTATATCATACCAGATGGTTCATCATTATCACATATATACACCAAGTCACAGGTCCGTTCATCACCGCGGTATGTGCCTTCACCGTCAATAAACTGTTTCACTTTAACTTATCGTGTATGTTTTTGATGATTGTAGTTGCCATTGATCTGCTCCTGTGTAATATGACAACTTACGTCCTCTTCAATGACAATACACACTTGATTAAATTCTGGTGGGTGAGTATGGTTTTACGCTGCTTTTAGCAATATTCCAGCAATGTCACGGCAGGTACGCCAAGAATTGGCTTCACACATTGTACCCATGTGGGGAAGCGAACCCCGACCTTCGGCGTGACGAGCGAATGCTTTAACAACTGGGCTACCTCACTGCCCCTCAGGTACAGAAGGCCACCTAACTAAGACGGAGGCATGTCATGAGCATTTGCCTCTCATAGATTGGTTCATCAGCAGGTGGCTGTGATGTTGGGGGCTGTGCTTGGTGAACGATCAGATTGAGTCTCATCTGGGATTCGAACCCACACTCTCAGGGTTAGGCATCTAATCGCCAGCACACAAAGTCAGTCGTCTAACCCACTCAGCCAGCGCAAATGAATGGAAGTCGGACCACTGTAGTCTAGACCACGGACTTTGTCCCCCGAAATGAAAAGTGTACATTTGCACGGCGTTGTATATTCTTAGCATTATAGAAGTTGGGGGGGTACAATGTCAACAAAGTTTATGGATGACAACCTCTTTTATTTCGTAAGTGCGACGAACAAGAATCTGAATCGAAACGTTGTCGTACAATGCAACTGTCGGGATCTCGTGGTCAGGCTCTCTGTCATGGTAGGTGTGCAGCATAGTCATACCAGATGAAGAACTTGGGTATTTTGCAGCAAGATCCCAGCTATATCGCGGCTTCGTGGATAGGTTCGACAAGATTTTCACCACTTGACCACCCTTACGACCCATCAAAGGGTAAACAAATTCGAAATCCTATTCTTCAGCGAAATGACTGAATCGACGAAAACGTTGCTTAAAATCTGATTTATTACTTCACTGAACTGAAACATGTTTCCACGGCAACATTACACTAGTGTAGCACATGTACACGTATCTATAGCGTCAAAATGGTTTGCAGTTATGCTAATACCTCTGTCACTATGGTATTAGACCTTGCTTGACTCGCGGAGAGCTGAGAGTTATCACACTGTAGGCAGTTCCTATCATTTAATGTTGGAGAGTAATAAACAGAATTAGAAACTCGCTAATCTAAGCTATATCTTGTTTTGAAATAGATAGATGATTCGACATAGAATCCAGTTATATACAGTTATTCCGTGAGATTCCTTCCGCACCAAACATCGGTATGACTCGTTCATTTATCACCACCCGAGCACGCGGGTCTGAACCAACACCAGGTCAGCCAGCAGTTCAGATCACATCTACAGCCGGCTCCATGGGACACTCACAGAATCGACTTGCGAGAAGCGTCTTCCATTCCTACACAGAACCACATGTCACAATACTTCTACGATCACAACCCTTTCCTTTGACAGGTTAGCAGATCAGATGAAGATCCCAGCTGTGCTCTGCTCTATTCACGTCGTTCAACACCGACAAAAACACGACTTTCGGGTTTAATGGAGCGTCCATTTTGTAGCTGTTCCTGAGCCTGAAAAACAGTTCAATCATAAACACATTTTGGAAACAAAAAGAAACCTACAAAAAATTATCATAAAGAACAATTATTAATTCAGGGTAAATGACTTCTCGATGACCCTTTCTGTCAAAACAGCTTTGTACTATCAGACGCATATTCTGAAACCACACATGGTCGATAGTTATATGTAACGAATTATAGTAACTACGAATGCAGGGGTAGCTTAGTGGTTAAAGCATTCGTCCGTCACGCCGAAGACCCGGTTTTGAACCCCCCATATGGGTACAATGTGTGAACATTTCTGGTGTCCCCTGCCGTCATATTGCTCAAATATTACTAAAAGCATCGTAAAACTAAACTCACTCACTCAAAACAACACAAACCGAAACATGAGTTTCATTAAGCTATTCAGACAATGACCTACTTTTCAGCCGATCTGAATATTCTCGTGCGAAAGTGAAAATAGACATCACAAACAACTATGGTTACACTGAATTCCAATTCCTAGTTTCATAAGAAAATGGTATTTACAAATGAATTTTAATGTTAAACTTTAATAACATCGTATTTCTATATTTTTTGGCGAGGTCTAGGCATCATGACCTTAACTAAGACTGCCCCTTTTTGATGAGGTCGTGAAATGATTCACAATGCATCTGGCTCACTGGTTACTCCTGTTATGTGTTTTTTGCGCATATTCAGTGTAGTTCTGTCAAGCACAATGTGATTGATGTAATATCAATTCCGTGACAGACCGCCAAACGTTTCTAGCGGCAGAGCCTCGTTTTGAGATTTCCACGATTTTCAGGTTTCCGTTTGTCAGAGCTCCTGTACGACAGAGCACGCTGCACGGCGTGTTTGCAAGGATTAGAAGGAGCGTAGTTTTGCAATATACAAGTGTTGTAGATGTATCAAATAATACTGATTAATATTTATGTATCCAGTTAAATGAATTGGTCTCAAAATTCTGGACTGGTTATTGTACTAAGTTGCGCAATAGGACGGAACCCAGTCAACGGGAAAGGAGACTGTTGTATAATCAATGTTTTGACTTGTTATGCCAGTAGGGACTATGACGGTATATCGTGATACATATGCGTGATATATATATATTTATGGATATAATATTAACTAACGGCTGAACAACTTACTATTGTCTCCGGAGTTGCAACAAACCGGAAGTTCTGCACCAAAGCCACTATCGCTATTTTGGCCTCCAACAAGGCCAGCCTCATTCCCATACAGTTCCGGGGCCCGACGCCAAACGGCATCCACATGTACTCGTGCAACTCATGCTTGTTCTCGGGGAGGAACCTGGAACAGCCAAGTAATCCAGACAATCAGCAGCTTCGTTATTGCTTATAAACGTCATTACATTAGCCATGTTGTCGTTGGATATGTCCACAGATGCTCACAATCCAACGTGGTGGTCTCTTGCAAGGTTTGTATGGTAGAAATATAAAAGGGGGAGAGGAGGAGGGATGGACGCACGGGGGAGACGGACAAATACGATATGGCAGAGATGGATAGAGATACGGGGAGGCAGCTGGAGTGGTTGAGGGTGGTGGCAATTCTGGGTGTAGGTATATAAGTGTCTTGATCGCATACCTGTCAGGGTCGAATTTTTCCGGTTCGGCCCAGAACTCAGGGTCATGCTGAATTGCGTAAACGGGGATGATGACAGGCATGCCGGCGGGGATGTTGTAGCCGTTGATGGTGGTACTCTTGGCTGCAACTCGGGTGTTCCTGGAAGAGATCAGGTCTCAAATTATGACAGAGAACTGCCACAGAATAAGTGGTTTCCTTGCAGTGGATGATACAACGTCAGAAGAGGTACCAAGTCACAATGATTCAAGTCGGTCTTTATAGACCGGGCTCCAGGCTCCGGGCTCCAGGCTCCGTGATATTTACTCACCTGGATGCCGGCGGGTACAGTCTCAGGGTTTCCATGAACACGTTCTCCAGGTACTGCAACTTTGTCACCTCGGCATACGTGGGCTTCCTCTGTACAGAAACATACACACAGTATCAGTCCATGGTGATGGGGAATCCACCAGGCGAATCCCGGAATCGTACCGACCAATATACATGCTTCAAACAAGACTTTACTGCACACTTAGACGTATTACACTATTGGTTGAGTCAGTACGTCTAGTTTTATGCCGCACTCAGCAATATTCCAGCTATATAGCAGCGGTCTGTAAATAATCTTGACTAGACAATCCAGTGATGAACAGCATGCGCATCTACGCAACTGGGACACAATGACATGTGCCAACCAAGTTAGCGAGCCTGACCACCCAATCCCGTTAGTCGATTTTTACGACAAGCATGGGTTACTGAAGATCAATTCTAACCCAAATCTTCACGGGTCCACTGTTGGCAAAGTGACACACATCAATTATCAGTAGGGTACTAGTGCTTAAATGCCCGGACCAGTAGAGTCTCTCTGGGATCCCGGTTGTACTTACAATTCCTATGTACTAAATTTAGATTATCGAGTTGTACACTCTTGTCGCTGTGCCGAATATCGACTTATACACCCTTTTTAATGTGCCGCATGTACTTACATGTCCTAATTGCTTGATTATCGACTGGTACAACCTCTCCTGGATCTCGGGGTGCGTGGCCAAGTTGTAGGCGGTGAAGGTCAGAGCTCTGGAAGTCGTCTCGTAACCGGCGAGGAGGAAGATGTGGGAGTTGCAGAATATCTCGTAGTTCGTCAGACCTTAAACAGATCCACTTAGGCTACAGTCCTCTATTCAAGCCTCCACTTAGGCTACAGTCCTCTATTCAAGCCTCCACTTAGGCTACAGTCCTCTATTCAAGCCTCCACTTAGGCTACAGTCCTCTATTCAAGCCTCCACTTAGGCTACAGTCCTCTATTCAAGCCTCCACTTAGGCTACAGTCCTCTATTCAAGCCTCCACTTAGGCTACAGTCCTCTATTCAAGCCTCCACTTAGGCTACAGTCAAACAACCAAGTCTCCAATGAAGCTCCAAAACATTAACAGAATTTATCATAAAAGTATCCCCGCTCTTTGTTGAATATGTCCGGATTGACCCGAAATTGGACAAATGAACTAACAGGTGAATACCTCGCTTCTTGTAGTACTTGAAGTCAAGTGTTGTTTCAGTATCGTCATCGGAGTCGTCGTCCGAGTCTCTTTCTGCCCCCTCCTTGTTGGTGTCCAACATCGCCTGTAGCATGTCCCCGTAGCGCTGTGGAGAGATGTTCCTGATGGAGTCAGTTTGCTCGGCAGTGTGGCTCATGCTGTAGTCAGTTGTGTATATTGCTTTGTCTTGTAAATAACATATAATTCAGTTACTTTAAGTATGATGCCTTTAGGAACAAACAATGTTACACTCTTAAAAAAAGAAACGCATCGGCGTCTCCGGCAGTTCATTTCAATATATTTTGACAGCAATCGTCATTAAACATTTCCTATATTTAAATCCTGTTAATCATATCGAGCTTTTTTTAGAAAAATGAAACGGTACATGAAAAGTGCATGCAGAAAAGGTTTTCCACGTAATGCACTCGTAAAGTGTCGGACACAAGAGTAGAGACCTCGACCACAAACGGACAAACCAAATTCATCATGTCATTACGAAATTTACGACGAAAACGAAGTTAGAAAATGCCATGATTGAATGCTACTGGCCGAAATATCGTCATTGGACGTTTGGAAGCAGGGGAGTCCCAGTCTGTCGTTGCAAGACACTTCAACGTCCACCACAGCACTGTATCTCGATTATGTACTCCATCACTTCGACCCAAGAACGTCCCAGAAGTAGAAGATCACTCCTGCTCTGGACCTATTCATCCGGGTGTTTCACCTATATTCGCTACAGCAACGGACACTACAGGACAAGTGCCTGATCTTCTTCTGACCAAACCATCAGAAATCGTCTGAGAGAAGCGGGAAGTCGAGCATATGGACAGTAGTACAACAGGGTACAGGCATGGAACCTGGGGGAATCTGGGGAACGCATGGAACCTGGGGAACGCATGGCACGCGTTTGGTTCAGCGATGAATTGCATTTCCTCCTGCAACGACGGGATGGGAGACAACGTTGACGTCAACACGAACGTTTTGCGCGGAACTGCGCTCGACAGGTGGACAGATTTGGTGGTGAGAGCGTCATGGTGTGGGGAAACATTGCATACACGGGTAAATTAGAGCTTGTGGTGGTTCAAGACAATCTTACAGCAAACCGTTACATCGACCATATCCTGCAACCTCACCTTCTCCCACTATTTAACCACCAGAGGGAGCTGTTTCAACACCACAACGCTCGAGTCCACACAGCTCGTGCAACAGGTGTCTATCTCGCCAATGCAAACGTCAATTTCCTTCCTTGACCTTCCAAATCGAATAATCAGAACCCGATCGTGCATCAATGGGACGAACTTGATCGACGCGTCCGTCGCCACCGTCCTCAGACACCTGCCAACGCGTTTCAGGAGGAATGGCGAAGAATTGTGGAATCCACTCAAAGACCACGTACTGACCTGAACTCCCCCTTTTGACCACACACATGTGCACACATGCTGACAACAATCTCCTTCATCTATGTTCAAACTTAAGCGACTTATGTACACTTAAATACGTTTAATGCATTTCCTTATTTGGGCCTATGCGTTTCGTATTTTGAAGAGTGAACATCATCGTGATCGTCGAGTCTGTCACTCGATATTTGAGGGGGAAATCTGAAGGCAAATTATTTTGACAAACTATGGATAACAACTCTTTCTATAAAAAGAACCATTTTACACAGAAATAGAAAATTATTGTCCATACAATAGACAATAATGTGCTTCACAACTTCTAAAATGCCACCAAAACCACCAAATTGTTTTCTTATCATTTTGCAAAACCGAAATACCGAAATATTCCAAAGGTTTGGGGGTTACAAACGTTCGAGTTACATGATTTAGAATTAAGGGAGCTCGAATTCGGGTATCGGGGTATGGGAGTTCAGGATACCAGTTGTAGTTGTACAATGGCGAGTTGGAGTTGTTTATGCTGGAGGGGGTAGTGTTTTGGGAGTTGGGGGACTGGGAAATATAGGCGTTCGAGCGAGAAAAGATCGAGTTAGAGGTGCTCGAGTTAGAGGTGTTCGAGTGAGAGGTGTTCGAGTGAGAGGTGTTCGAGTTAAAGGTGTTCGAGTCAGAAGTGTTCGAGTTAGAGGTGTTAGAGTGAGAGGTGTTCGAGTTAGAGGTGTTCGAGTGAGAGGTGTTCGAGTTAGGGGTGTTCGAGCTAGAGGTGTTCAAGGTAACTTACCGGGTCCGGGTTGTTCTTCCTGTCCTCGATCACCTGTTTCACCACCTCACGGAACTTGGCCTTGTCTTTGTCGAAATCCAAAACCTGGAAGTCAATCTTCCCAAAGATGGACTTGGTGAAGGGAAACAACACTGAAATTCGGTTTTAGAAACATCATTAAGGTACTGAGACAGATCATATTTATGACAGGCAACAGGAACAGCATTAACTTACTGAGACACATAATGTTTAAGACAGGCAACTGTGAGCAATACAACATCACAGGCACTTCCAACAGGTGCCGGAGTCAATAGGTAATAGGTGTCACACATTCGGCCAACTGACCGTGCCTCACCACGCCATCGTCACTATTGGCTGTAACGACGCCTTGGAATACTGGTGATCCATACCTCCCTACTATACTCAAAGTGGAAAATAAAGGAACACGACAGGGACGTGTGCAAAATATCATCAACAGGTCTTATTTACTAGGAAACCATGTGTGTGCCATTCTGTGATACGAGGGTTGATTAGGACGTTGTAAGCCTTACAGAGACCAACAGGTCGAAAGTTGAAATCTTTGGTCATTATTTGATGTCACGGAAGTTTATCAATCAATACACTGAGACACTTGAACAACGTGCACAAGTCAGATATCCGACCTTTGGAAAAAATGGGCAAACTTCAGGAATGTGCAGTAATCAGGAATTTGCAGACTCTTGCTTAGACTCGTTCTTGAAGTTGTAAATTGAAGTTCCATGCACGGTTACAAATCGTTGCAAGAAACATTCTGGATCAGCTCCAAACACCTGGGTCCGTTTTATACCTGTGTACTCATACTTTGAGATGGCGTCCTTTAAGCGTACTTACGTGTCAACAGGAAGATTATGGGAAAGGTCAGTTTAAAAGCTTTCCGGCAATAGGTGACGAAGACATTGTCGGGGTTGGACTGACTGTCGAGGTCGATGCTGAAGCCGGTGTTGGCGATGACGTCCATGGTGTAGCATCCCATAAAACTGCAGCAGCAAGTGAGTCAAAATGTCTAAATGATCGCATTGTGGCAGGTGTATAAGAAAGTTTGCAATATTTTCGCAAAGGTTTTGGACTTTCTTTATATCGTATAATTCTCACGAGGTTGTAGTCAAGAATTCATCAGGTGTAGCATCCCATAAAACTGCAGCAGCATGTGAGTCAAAATGTCTAAATGATCGCATTGTTGCAGGTAGATATGTCTAAATGTAACAAGAAATTCTGGAATCATACTTTTTTTCGCAAAGGTTTTGGACTTTCATGAAATCGTATAATTCTCACGAGGTTGTAGTCAAGAATTCATCAAGTGACCAATCAAATGCTGGCATGTCAATTGTTATTGAGTCTTACTGTCTCATATCCACGCTTTTCTTCTTCTTTGCTTCTATATCCATGTTTATCACCATCAGGTCGGAACATCTCTCAATCAACGTCATCATCTGGAGACACCCAACACAACATGGTCAGGAAGACATCACGCACGATCAGGTAAGCCGGATGCTCTCCAGCTTATGTGTCATAAAACTTCTGTTTTTTACAGATCTCGACTTTCAAATACGAAGTAATAAAGTCATTACTGCTCGGTTTTGCGTGCGTGTGTGTGCGCGTGCGTGCGCGTGCGTGTATGTGTGAGCGCGTGCATGTGGCGGATTAATCGGCTGAGTAAAGTTGTGTCCCTTATAGATGGCAGGATCCGCTGATGTTACGATGCTCGTGGATTTAACACAAGGGGGAAATATTTACAACCAGTATAGTTTGCCTGCTTGTTTTCTCCTGTGTATTGACCTGATTGAAAATACCTGCATGCATTTTCTGTTTGAGAAAATCTACATATTTATCAGTTGAAATACACGAATGTATGTATCTTTTTAAGAATATCCGACTGTATATATTTATCTGTTTGAGAATACCAGTATATATTTACCTGATTAAGAAAACTAAACATATTTTATCTGTTGGAGAGAGTACATGTGCATGGCTATCTTTTCATCATCGGTGTATATATTTACGGTCTGTAAGACATATTTACCTGTTTGAGATTAGACGTACGGAATGTAGGACTGAGAACACATGGCATGAATTTCCAGTGTTCGTCGTAGATCTCCGCGATACAGTATATCACGATCTTGGGCATCGGGCCGAACGTCTGGGAAACAGCAACATGCAAGTACTGCTACAGCATGGCGAAGTGTATGTTTAAATCATGCATCATCTATTCCTGATATGTAACAGTTTATTGTTATGCTCTCACTTAAAGGACAGAACTCTACTGTGCAATCACTCCACCCCTAAAGGGCAGACACCCAGATATGGTAGAACTCACTACCGGGTCATCCCTCAACCCCTAAAGGGCAGACACCCGGATCTAGTAGAACTCACTACTGGGTCATCCCTCCACCCCTAAAGGGCAGACACCCGGATCTAGTAGAACTCACTACCGGGTCATCCCTCCACCCCTAAAGGGCAGACACCCGGATCTCGTAGAACTCACTACTGGGTCACCCTCCACCCCTAAAGGGCAGACACCCGGATCTAGTAGAACTCACTACCGGGTCATCCCTCCATCCCTAAAGGGCAGACACCCGGATCTAGTAGAACTCACTACCGGGTCATCCCTCCATCCCTAAAGGGCAGACACCCGGATCTAGTAGAACTCACTACTGTGTCATCCCTCCACCCCTAAAGGGCAGACATCCTGATCTAGTAGAACTCACTATTGGGTCATCCCTCCACCCCTAAAGGGCAGACACCCGGATCTAGTAGAACTCACTACTTGGTCATCCCTCAACCCCTAAAGGGCAGACACCCGGATCTAGTAGAACTCACTACCGGGTCATCCCTCCACCCCTAAAGGGCAGACACCCGGATCTAGTAGAACTCACTACCGGGTCATCCCTCCACCCCTAAAGGGCAGACACCCGGATCTAGTAGAACTCACTACTGGGTCACCCTCCACACCTAAAGGGCAGACACCCGGATCTAGTAGAACTCACTACTTGGTCATCCCTCCACCCCTAAAGGGCAGACACCCGGATCTAGTAGAACTCACTATTGGGTCATCCCTCCACCCCTAAAGGGCAGACACCCGGATCTAGTAGAACTCTCTACTTGGTCATCCCTCCACCCCTAAACGGCAGACATCCTGATCTGGTAGAACTCACTACTTGGTCATCCCTCCACCCCTAAAGGGCAGACACCCGGATCTAGTAGAACTCTCTACTTGGTCATCCCTCCATCCCTAAAGGGCAGACACCCGGATCTAGTAGAACTCTCTACTTGGTCATCCCTCCACCCCTAAAGGGCAGACACCCGGATCTAGTAGAACTCACTACTTGGTCATCCCACCACGCCTAAAGGGCAGACACCCGGATCTAGTAGAACTCACTATTGGGTCATTCCTCCACCCCTAAAGGGCAGACACCCGGATCTAGTAGAACTCACTACTGGGTCACCCTCCACCCCTAAAGGGCAGACACCCGGATCTAGTAGAACTCACTACTTGGTCATCCCTCCACCCCTAAAGGGCAGACATCCTGATCTAGTAGAACTCACTACTTGGTCCTCCCACCACCCCTAAAGGGCAGACACCCGGATCTAGTAGAACTCACTATTGGGTCATCCCTCCACCCCTAAAGGGCAGACACCCGGATCTAGTAGAACTCACTATTGGGTCATCCCTACACCCCTAAAGGGCAGACACCCGGATCTAGTAGAACTCACTATTGGGTCATCCCTCCATCCCTAAAGGGCAGACACCCGGATCTAGTAGAACTCACTATTGGGTCATCCCTCCAACCCTAAAGGGCAGACACCCGGATCTAGTAGAACTCACTATTGGGTCATCCCTCCATCCCTAAAGGGCAGACACCCGGATCTAGTAGAACTCTCTACTGGGTCATCCCTCCAACCCTAAAGGGCAGACACCCGGATCTAGAAGAACTCACTACTTGGTCATCCCTCCACCCCTAAAGGGCAGACACCCGGATCTAGTAGAACTCACTACTTGGTCATCCCACCCCCCCTAAAGGGCAGACACCCAGATCTAGTAGAACTCACTATTGGGTCATCCCTCCACCCCTAAAGGGCAGACACCCGGATCTAGTAGCACTCACTACTTGGTCATCCCTCCACCCCTAAAGGGCAGACATCCTGATCTGGTAGAACTCTCTACTCGGTCATCCCTCCACCCCTAAAGGGCAGACACCCGGATCTAGTAGAACTCACTACTTGGTCATCCCTCCACCCCTAAAGGGCAGACACCCGGATCTAGTAGAACTCACTATTGGGTCATCCCTCCACCCCTAAAGGGCAGACACCCGGATCTAGTAGCACTCACTACTTGGTCATCCCTCCACCCCTAAAGGGCAGACATCCTTATCTGGTAGAACTCTCTACTTGGTCATCCCTCCACCCCTAAAGGGCAGACACCCGGATCTAGTAGAACTCACTACTTGGTCATCCCTCCACCCCTAAAGGGCAGACACCCTGATCTGGTAGAACTCTCTACTTGGTCATCCCTCCACCCCTAAAGGGCAGACACCCGGATCTAGTAGAACTCACTATTGGGTCATCCCTCCACCCCTAAAGGGCAGACACCCGGATCTAGTAGAACTTACTATTGGGTCATCCCTCCACCCCTAAAGGGCAGACACCCGGATCTAGTAGCACTCACTACTTGGTCATCCCTCAACCCCTAAAGGGCAGACATCCTGATCTGGTAGAACTCTCTACTTGGTCATCCCTCCACCCCTAAAGGGCAGACACCCGGATCTAGTAGAACTCACTATTGGGTCATCCCTCCACCCCTAAAGGGCAGACACCCGGATCTAGTAGAACTCACTATTGGGTCATCCCTCCACCCCTAAAGGGCAGACACCCGGATCTAGTAGAACTCACTATTGGGTCATCCCTCCATGGTACGACAACGAGTGTAAAAACCTCAAGGACAAGAAATTCGGTTTATTGAACAAATTCAGAACTACTGGTGATAAACAAATATTGATTGAATACATTAAACTCAGGAATAGTTACAGAGGTTTGTGTAGAAATAAGAAACAACAATACCAAGATCGACAGATAAATGAATTGACTGATGTGAATATCAATAACAGAGCGTTTTGGCAAAAAATAAAGAAATTGTCAAGTAACAGAAAGGTAACGACATCTATATGCCAGGACGAGTGGACAGAATATTTCAAAGAAGTTCTGAATGTAACAGGCAACTCGGTCGATCAACTCCATCTCGACAAAGCAGAGGAAATTCTACGTGATCACTGCAGTCTTTCATGTGATGTATGTCAGGATGATGACATTATGTACCTGCTCAATAGGGATATATCCGTAAAAGAGGTCAAGGCAGCTATTAGGAACTTAAAAGACGGCAAAGCAGCAGGTCCAGATGGTATAAAGACAGAGATTGTGAAATGTTGTGATGACTTACTCGCTCCATATCTAACTACCATCTTCAACGAGATATTAGTCACCGGAAATTATCCGATTGAGTGGGCCAAGGGTATAATCGTACCTCTTCACAAGAAAGGTGACGTCAACGATGTCAATAATTATAGAGGCATATCCCTCATGGATGTTTTTGGGAGAATATTTTGCTCAATTCTAAATGAACGTTTACAATCGTTTGCAGATGTTTATGATAAAATCCCCGAGGCCCAAGCAGGATTCAGGAAGAACTACAGTACAACTGACAATATATTCACTCTTCAAAGTTTGATTCAGAAATATCTCTCAAAACGAGGCGGTCGCTTTTATTGCATATTTGTGGACTTTAGAAAGGCCTTCGATTCAATTAATAGACAGCTTCTTTGGTACACACTAATCAGAAACGATATCCACGGCAGAATATCAAATGTGCTAAGGAATATGTACTCTAAAATACAGTCAGCAGTGAGAACAGGCTCCAACTCAATCTCCGACTATTTTCAATGTTTGAGCGGTGTGCGACAAGGGTGCGCTCTCAGCCCTTTCCTTTTTACAATATTCATTTCAGAATTTCAAGTCATGTTGGAAAATGCCAATCTTAGAGGAATATTCGTCGACCCTGATTTTATGGAGCTGGTCCTGTTACTTTTTGCTGATGACCTATGTATATTCGACGATTCTGTAATTGGACTTCAAAGAAAAATTGATATTCTTCACATCTACTGTCTGACATGGGGAATGGAAGTCAACATGAACAAAACGGAAATCCTTGTCTTTCGGAACGGAGGCTTCTTACGAAATTATGAAAAATGGTATCTACACGGATCACAGATAAAATGCTCAACATATTATAACTATCTCGGAATAATGTTCTCCACTCGACTGTCATGGACTAAATGTACTGAGACACTTACTACTAAAGCCACTAAAGCCCTATTTGCTATCACACGGGTATCTTAAAAATATCCAAATATGTCTGCAAGTGTTCTTTTCAAGCTCTTTGACAGTAAAATAAAGCCAATATTACTTTACGGTGCAGAAGTATGGGGTCACCAAGATAGACAAGCTATTAACAAATTCCACTCTAATTTTTGTAAATTTGTACTAGGTGTAGGTAAGCATGTGTCCAGTAACGCAGTATTAGCAGAATGCGGTAGATATTGTATTAGTATTGACTATCAAATTAAATGTATCCGGTACTGGTGTAAACTATTATGTATGGCTACCGATAGGTACCCCAAGCAATCTTATATTCTTTTGAAAAAGCTTGATGATTGTAGCAGAATTACTTGGGCATCATATATAAGAATATTGTTAAACACGTATGGATTTGGTTTTGTGTGGGTAAGCCAAGAAGTTGGTAGTGTAAATGATTTTGTATTTATGTTTAAACAAAGACTTGTAGATTCTGCAAAGCAAAATATGTTTAGCAAAATAAATGAATCAGCACATTTATCTTATTACAAATCATTAAAGTCATTACTGGATGTTGAATACTATATTTCTAATGTACATCTAAAGGAATATCGACGTTGTTTATGCTTGTTACGTATTCAACAATTGCCTCTCCTATGTAACGTAAGATATCAAGATGACAGTGGGTTAAGCAAAATATGTAAAATGTGTAACCGCTATAATTTTGAAGATGAATTACATTTTGTACTTGTCTGTGATGCATATGCAAATTTAAGAAGCAAA